AATTGGAATATTTGCCAGTCCGCTTGCGGTCTTAGGAATGGAAAGGATAAATCGATATCTGCGAAGATCGAGAAAGTTTTTCACGTCGATGTTTTGTTTTAAATTGGGCCATCATACACCAGAGCAACACATGAACCAAGGATACTATCGTTTATGAGAGTAACTATAGTTGCGTTTTTTTACTCATTTCCAGTAAAATCCAGTAAAAGTTTTTACGAATTTTCAAGTTTTGGCGTTTTCGTACGCAAAAACTTGCAAAGTAGGGGAAATTGAGAGAGCGAAAAATGACAGTTGAAGTTGCAAGAATTTACTGGATTTTACTGGATAAATTTTTACTTGTAAAAATTTGCCAGTACGAAAAACAGCTGATCGCATGTTGCTGGATGAAATTTACAGCCTTATTCTGTATCACGAACTAAAGGCAACTCGAACGATTCGTCTGCAGAGGAATGCTTCAAAAATTAGTCCGGGGGCATCATTTTAGTCGGTTTAAATACAACCGAGACCATTGCAACATAATGTATGAAAAGTAAGACGAAGAAGACCGATAGAGTTTAAAATCGCAATCAGAGAGGTTGTCGTCTGCAGACGAATCTTTCGTGATACAGAAAAAGAAAAAGAAAGAAACTTGCAAATTATAACTGGAAAAGCGTTCGCGTACTTTTTTGCAAATTTTTTCTATGAGAGCAAATTCTTAGAAATAAAGTTACTGGAGAGTTGCTGGCAAGTGACTGGATAATTTGTAAAAAAACACAACTAATTTCTGTATCCCGTTTCCGTTTATTCGCGATTTGAATTTTGTCCCAAAACTACTAGTACTCTGCGCTACTATGCATGAGAAAAAACCTTTTTTATATATATATTTTTTATTACATTCTTGCTATTACCAGGGCTTGAACCCAGGCACTGCAGAGTGGAACCACGCACTGCTAACCACTACACCGCAGCGGCCGCCGTTCTCTTCTTTATGTGAACAAAAATGACAATTTTTGGTTTTCATGAAGCAAGACAATCTCTCGTTCAGACGATTGTCGTCATACGTGATTCTTGCCCTGATTGTTGATTAACTTCCACTATTCATTTTCAGATCATACATTAGTTGCGTTCGATATTAAAATTAACCAACACCAGCCAACAATCAAAATCAAGAGAGTAAGCGAAAATTCTCTCCCGAAGAGAAGAAAAAGAAGAAAAGTAAACGAACAGGAAATTAGCCATCAAAAACCGGAAGAAGAAGACACACCAGCTGTCTTTGTTTATGTTTTATTTGTAAACAAACTGAAATTCATGTTGCCTCCATGGATATAGTGCATTTTGAAATATTTAATCGGGCGATTTAAATCGCGGGATTTTTTATTACAAATTTTCGCCTGCGGTGCTTTTTTCTAAAAAATCCAATACTTCCATATATCTTGAAAATTTTTAATAAAAAATCGCGCGATTTTTTTATTACAAATTTTCGCCTGCGGCGCTTTTTTTCTAAAGAATCCAATACTTCCATATATCTTGAAAATTTTCACCCTGCGACCCTTTTTTTATCAATTCTTCCATATATAGTGAAAATATCCAATATAAAATCTATAATATATACGTACATGTCCACTTAATTATTTACGTTTTCATTGATTCCCTTTTCAGTACTTTTTTTACACATTTTTTGGAAAATGTGAGGTTAAATTTCACTTTTTTTACAACTTTAACAACGTATTACTTAAAAACTATTAGCCTCCGGAGGGGGAGGGGGGGGGCTTTCAGATTTAGAATCACAAAAAGCCGCTCTAAACCCCCTCATTTTGTTTCAAAACCTGGTCCATTACTGGAAAATTTTCCCGAAGGAAGAAATCAGCTGACACGGAAAAATCTAAATTGCGCAGATTTTTGCGGTACGGGCAACAACTACAGAAAAATTCTGCGGTGTTGTGTTTTCATTTACATGGCGCTTTGGTAAGACAGAACATGTCAGCTGACTCGTGTTTACGTACCGGTAGGTTTACGTTCTTGACAAATTTCAAGTTTCCTCTTAAGCTGAAATTAGTCGAGAACGCAGAACGTATACTTAAACGCAGTCTGTATACGCAGAATTTTGTCGATTACTGGAGCCCTCAGTGTTGCTTACTACACTGTTGCCACTCATCAATGCCTTTTCATAAACTTACCCTTTCAACTACAATTTTTCGTGCTATAATAGATTTTAGCTAAATATACACTACTTAGTTTTCAACAAAAACCTTATTCAATGGTAAATTTCAAATATTTTAAACATATTTTGAATAGGAACTTATAACTTTTTTACCATCTGTAAAACTGACGAAGTGGCAACCATCTAAAGAAGGAGAAATCAGCTGACACGGAAAAATCTAAATTCCGCACATTTCTGCGCTACGGGCTACAACTACAGAAAAATTCTGCGGTGTTGAGTTTTCATTTACATGGCGCTTTGGTAAGACAGATCGTGTCAGCTGATTCGGTTTACGTACCGGTAGGTTTACGTTCTTGACAAATTTCAGCTTTACTGAATATCGTATGTATGAATGAAAACTATCGATGTTTTCGATAGTCAATAACCATCGATACCATCGATAGTGGCATCGATAGTTTTCCCGCTCTACTGTCAACACCACCTTGTATTTGACATTAGAAAATAATTGTCGTTGGCTTTGGCGACCAAATAAACAAATTTTTTAATACAACTAGAGAAATTATATGTGAAAAATGGAACCAATGACTTTAGGCAGTCCTAGCGGCAGTCCGGCTACTAATCCCAGCCCATATTTGCCAGCTTTTCTGATGGGTGAAAGCCAGGTTCCGACAACACCACGCAACACGCTCTCACCAAATAAGGGTAGCAGAAACATTTCTTTTGGTAAGTAGTTACTTTCGAATAATACTGGACGAAGTGTTAAAAGCCTTTTAACAATTTTAGCAACGTCGCCAATACAAAATACTCCATCAGGTCCTCTTAGAGATCACAATCGTTTTTCGGTCGGACAAAAACAACTTTTCAATAGTAGTGTAAGTGCCAACTATTCAGGTACTCAAGGTCCACCTACCCAAGGATTATTCGATTCTTTGCGTAATGAACGAAATCTTGCAGAGACGCCAACACGTGGTATTGAATCACAATCGCCTCTTGGTTTTGGTACACCAATTGCCGCTCAACACAATCTGAGTGCTTTCGGAGGTAATACAAGTTTTCAACAGCACCATCTGCAGCAAAAACAATTTACGCCACAGTCAACAGCTCCATACAATGATTCATCGTACCTAGCCAATACCTCATATAATACATCACGCTGCATAACTTCGCCAATAGGACCGCTAGGTACACCTAATGCAAACGGGGCTATTAATAATGCTTCATATATGTTGCAATGCCCGCCAACACCACGTTATACGGAATTTTGGGTGACCGTTTTTGGCTTCCCGCCTAGCGCGATTTCAACGATTCTGCAGCACTTTGCTCAATGCGGCACTATAGTTGATAAAGTATTTCCCCCTCAAAATGGGAATTGGGTTCACTTGAAGTATGCCTCAAGATTAGAATGCGATAAGGCTCTGAATTATAATGAGAAAATATTGGGCAACAACATAATGATTGGTGTAACACAATGCAAGGATAAAAATATCATCGACAAAGAAAATGTGTGCGATAATAATACGTAAGTGTAAAAAATTTGATCGTATTCAATTTTTTCTATTAACTCTTATTGTCGCAGACAACCAAGCAACATACGACCATTAGCGCAAACTGCCTACAAAATTGCCCAAAATGACTCTGCTGTTGTTAACAATGCAAATTTGCCTCAAAAAAGCTCTGGTTTGATGAATAAAGCAATGGACTTGTTTTTTGGTTGGTAAAATAGATGCAATATTTTGGATTGTGCATTTTTATTAATAATTGGTTTAACTGGTTCAAATAAACAATATGTAGTAATTTTTATATTATTACTATTCTTTTTAATCAATGTTGCATAAAACGTTCCAAAAATTATTCGGCCCTATGCTGAATATCGTCATCATCGTCGACGATCGTCAGCGCATCAGTAACATGGCTGACGATGGCCGTATCGTCACTTTTCCTGACGATGACGATATTCAACATAGGGCGAATTTTTTCATTATTTCAGTCTCTTAGAAAGTCCTTTGCTGTTGCCGTATATTTTCTTTAGAAAAATATCCGAGAATTTTTTTATAGCAAGCTGCAAACTGATTTAATAGCCTTATTATCTGTCTTACATGATAGGCTGCACGAACGATTCGTCTGCATAGCAAACTCAACCACTTTTCCTACGACATCATTCTAGCCGTTGGTGTATATGTATGACCAGCGAATCATGGATGCAGGTTGAAGACGATGTCCTCTTTCCATGCGATCCTAATGAGAATCGTAGTCTGCGCACCTAATATTTGCAGAACGTAACCAAAACGATTGCAACGTTATCGACATAAACTCGAAAAATATTGCAGTCCAATTTTGGATGTTCAGTAAAAGTTTCGAGAATGATACAATTATTTTTTTCGTTTTTAACCGCCTCTAAAAAAAAGGAGGTTATCAATTTGCCGGATAGTTTTTTTTATGTAGTGTAATTTAGCGTATTGAATTTTACGTGATTCATTATGAAATTTTTGCTTAATTTTCGCCTTTTCGCAACCACGCTTAGATGGTAGTTTTCAACTAGGTTGCGCAAATTAGACTTTTTCTTTGATTGCGGTTTAGAAATAAAAGAAGACTGATGGTTTGTGTTTTGACGTTTTGGAAAGCACCCATACACATACATAACTTCAAAGTGGATGGATACAAACAAATTCGGCTCCTCTGGTTTGTATCAACATGGGATCCTCAGTATTTTCTGAAGAGCATGCTTTTTGTATTAAACAATATTGAAGTGTGTAGACAAAGGTTCGACATATTCTGTGTAATGGGTCGTCAGATTGACTAGCGACATAATTGTCCAAAATGTAATATCCTAGCGCTTTTATAGTAACTTATTATAATTTTTGTTTAATCTATTATTTTTTATTTGGATGTATAGGCGAATACATATATTTCGTTAAAATTATTTTTTACTAATAGATAATGCCAGCCGATAGAACCCTATAAAACTTTTTATTTGTGATAATTTTCAATTTTACAACATTTTTCCCCAACTCACGACCACATCGCAATCGAACTACTTGGGTTTGTCAATTAGAGCTGTCTCCAACTTAACCATCTTAGCGTAGTGAACGTCTCGACTGTCGAGTTTTGACTGAGCCCACAGGATCAACTTTAATAAGAACATCACTTTAGGAGTTGAATCGGTGCTATGCTCACACTTAAGTATTGCTGCATTAAGTTCACTCGCAATCTGTGGATAAAATTTTCGGGATACATTAAATAAAAATAATTGCCAAATTTTAGCATACCTTTTGCCTATGCGATTGTTCCAATAAATCTGCAAAAGGGCTATTTTGTGGCTTCTCAAAAGCTAAAAGAGCCAGTGTTCTTTCGAGTTCATTAAGCGCTTCGGGAATATCTTCACCCGCTTCAGATAGTTTATTTTGAGCAAATGTAAGAGCTTCTTCGATTTGTCCAGCTCTATGAATTATGAAAATCAATTAATTTCATGAGCAAATTATGTTTTACACGTAAGATGTGTATTACCGAATTAATTCAATAAGTTGCAATTGTTGCAGGTGAAAGAATAAATAGCGGTTATTATCCAGTAGCTCAGGATGCAATTGATTAACGAGATGGGTTGCTTCCTGAATGCGTCCACTCTGAACGGCTTCACGTATGAGTATGCGGTCATCTAATGAGCTGAGTTCCACACTTGGTTCGAGTCCAGCCTCCAACTGGAATTTTTCGGCAGCCTCTTTGAACCCTTCTATAATGTACAAAAACAGTTGCGTTTTTAAAGTCTTGTTATCGTCATTTGGATTTTTTCACTTACCAGTCACCAAATAATTCATAATTAATCGATTCATGTCACTTTGTTTATAAGGGAATTGCTCCAACTTTCGCATCCAATCTTCCTTTGTTATACCATCACATTTTTCGTTGTAGCTCATTTTTTTATTCTTCCTTATTTTGCCAATTTTGAGGCTGTATTTTAAACACTCAACACTCGAAATAAATTTTCTTATATTAAACTAATGGCAAACCTTTTTTAAATAGTTTTTTTCAAAACCTTTTTATAAAAATTTCGACTCATTAAAAAAACGTACAATTTTTACTTTTCTGATATTTTTCCGAAGCAGAACCAATTTTCAATTTGCTTTGCTCTCACCATTCGTTTGTTTGGTGTGTTCAGTTAGGTCGGTTTTAATGGCCCTACACACGGATCGATTAATCGGTCAACCAGTTGACCAACCTACTTAACTAAATTCCCTACAAACGCACCAACCAGTGGCTGATTTCATTTGAGTAAGAGTTTTTGAACTGTGAACAGTACAACAACACCGGTAAACTTTTAACTTCTCATTTTTATGTAATTCTTATTGCTACCGCCCCCGTTTTCACAAATTATATGCATTTTCACCAGCAAAACGAACCAAAAAAACACATGTTAACGTTAATGCGCATTTAAAAAAATGTAATAGGGTGCCAACTTGCAAAAAAATCTACCAAATTTTTTTTGATTTTTGTGTCATGGTTGTGCCTCTTTTCAATAACGTGTGCGAATTTTTGCATCATGACATTGCGTGTCACCATTTACTGATGTCCGAATTACTTCGTTGAACAAACACTCAACACGCCAACGAATTATAGAACTGACATGAGCAGCGTTGCCGAATTGACGAACTCTTCGACATTTTGATTTTTTTTTAGCTCAACGAGGCTTTGATGATTTTTTCCCCCCGATTTTTTATTTGTTTTTCCAACTAATTACATATGTAAATAAGTATGTATGTATTTTTTTTTTAAGGAAAACGCAATCCAAAATACAACCATGCATTTATCTAGTTTTGTTCTACAACCGTGCTTTTAGTTATATTACATTTGTTCTAGAATTATAACCAAATCGTTAATTTGCATTGTTGACACTGATTTGAAAGATATAGAAAAATAGCAGATGGAATTTGTTCAGCCAAGATTATCTAGCAGTTATTAAATGCTAATGTTACACATTAAAGCTGGATCAAAATCTTCAAAAACTTCAAGCCAGTGGAGTTGGACAATTTAAAAGCATTTGTGTATATTAAAGTTTAATTTAAAATTGTCATTAATAATTACAAATCCACTTTTACTAACCGATATGCAATGTGGGTTTCCTTTGGTTTTGAAATATGTGGTACATTTATTGTATGTAAATTATGTAATTTTGTTTCTACTTTTTATTTTGTTAAAAAAGTATAATAAACAAAAATTTGACTTTTTTTGGCCAGAATGACGATTTTTCAGGGTAAAATGACGATTTTTCAGCGAAAGCTTTCGGCAACGCTGGACATGAGGATAAAAATGACACTTTGACTCATTGCACGAACAAAAGAAAACGAATAAGAACAAAAAGGTATATTTAACTTCACTGTGAATAAATTTTTACTGTGCGGTTGGAAGTTGCGATAACATTTTGCGAAAAAATTGCATCTGCGTTAATCAAAAGCCTTTACTAATTTGTTTTTTTCAGTTTAAATAAAGTTAAGAAGTTGCTTATTTGTTGAACTAGAAATCAAAAACAAACATTAAGGATAATGGCGAAGAAAACCTACGATTTACTTTTCAAGTTGTTGCTAATCGGCGACTCAGGCGTAGGAAAAACTTGCATACTATTCCGATTCTCGGATGATGCATTCACGTCTACCTTTATTTCGACAATTGGTAAGATAAGTTGTTCTGTAACGATTACTTCCCTTGGATAGAAATTGCATATGAAGGAGTAGTTCAACGACTGGCAAGGGCGTGGCAGAGCCTGTCGCTTTAACACTGTTACTAATGCCTGATTTGGGTAACCTTACACTGAAATACCTTGAATTTCATCTCAACTGCCTTTTTCGACAATCTTATGTTCAACCTTACGTACATAGAATTTATATGCGATCCCGGCAAACATTTTCTTTGTTTACATATCGATGCACATACTGTGTACTATATGCATATGGATATTGAACGTAGTACATATGTACATATGTGTATATGCATGTATGTAGTGCACATAGTGCTATTCAGCTTTAGCGTATTTGCTTTTGTTTTTTTAATAGGATGGTGAAAGAAACGCAATTTATTATATAAATAGCTAACACGTCATAGTCAGTTACCGTTTTGATAAGTCCTAGTCTGTTATGAAAATTATAATAATAAACTCTTCGTAAAATGATTTGATATATTAATTGCTTATTACACAATTGCAGGAATTGATTTTAAAATAAAAACGGTCGAGCTAAGGGGGAAAAAAATTAAGCTTCAAATATGGGACACTGCCGGTCAAGAACGTTTTCACACAATCACAACATCCTACTACCGTGGCGCTATGGGTATAATGCTGGTATATGATATAACAAATGAAAAGAGTTTCGAGAATATAGTAAAATGGTTACGAAATATAGATGAGGTAAGTAGACGTATGCTTTATACACATGCTCATATACATACAGTGCCGGACAAAAGTATTGACACAGAAAACTTTTCGCAATATCTGCAAGTTTTTTATTCTAATTTATTTTCGATAACTTTTTATAAAAATATAGGCCGTCCTACATCAAAAAACATAAAAACTAAATCTCTAAACTGTGTGCAAAACTCGGTTCTTCCATACAAAGTATGTTCGACAATTATTTTTTGTGTAGATAAATGAGTAACACCTTCCACTAAAAAAATTGCCGAAAGTCAACGCGTTTTTTTAGATACTTCAACCTGCACTTTGTTATACTAAAATTTTGAGTAGAAAGTTGCAACTAGTATGCAAATTTATTGAATTTTCCTGAGCTTTGCACAAAGTTTGGAGATTTTGTATGTACGTTTTTGGTAAAGTACGAACTATATTTTTATTAAAAAATATTGAAAATAAATTAGAATAAAACACTTTGCATATATTGCGAAAAATTCTCTGTGCCAATACTTTTGTCCGGCACTGTATGTCTGTATATTTATGTACATATGTATGAATGTATGTAATTTCTCTGCAAACCGAAGTTCTCCAAATTCTTAATGAAATCTTTAGGAGTATTTCATTTCATATTCGTACTACGAGAATGTTGTAAAAATCCAAAAAATCAGGTTCTTTACAGATTAACGATAAAAAAATACTATAAACTCCTCAAAAAGTGGCTGAGTTTAAAAATTATCGGATTGATTTTCATCTGTGACCTTAAAAGGATAAAAAAATGCGTGGAAAGGTTAAAAAATTATAACAGCATCAAATTTATCAAGAAATAGGGATCTAACTAATTTCGAAAAAGAAATAGGCTTAAATCACTATACTATTTTTTCATCAGGTGAAACTTAATAAAAGCTTGTAAAATATGGAATTTGTTAGCATCTTTAGAACAGCTTTGTAACCAATATCCACATATCCTCAACTTAATATGGAAACACTCTTATTTCTTTACAGAATAATTACACTTAATAAAACACTTAACACTTTACACTTAATAAAACTGAACAGTGTTTCTTAAAAACACTTATAATACTATTTCGCTGATTTAGTACATAGTTGTTTCTATATTGTATAAGAGGTTATTAGTGAGTACATATGTAGTCGTCTTTCGACTTTTGTACAAAGATGCATTTTGAAAGAAAATAAATTAGGGCATTTCTGTATTAAGGTAACGTAAATATGCATGCACTGTAGTGGTAACTGTCCAGCCAGCATTGTACAAATACATACACATACATACAAATGTAAATATGCAAATCTTATCTATGCCTCAAATATTTATAAAATAAGCTTAAGTAAACACAATCAACTACATAAACTAGCAACATAACCAAAGATAAAAGACTTTTGGCCTTATTCATAAAAAATAAAAAAGAATTAAAGAGCTCGATAAAATGGCATTTTAAGCACATAAAGTCTTCTTTTTTTTATGAATTTGGGTGTTTGTTTTGCCAAGCTCATTAAGAGCAGTTTTTTGATGGTTTGAGGTGTATATTGCGACACGAAATGGGAAAATTTCAGAGTTTATTTCTGCGATTAAAAGCTTCTCGCATAGAATCACCTGATGTTAGTAGTCGTTAAACTGTAGATAGTCCCTCCATAACAACAGTTTTAAGTAACACCCCAAAGGAATTGAGACAGATAGAACTTTAGTATGCAAAATAGGTTGGTATTAAAAATAAGCGAATTGGGATCCAAATTGATTTTTTTCTCTGAATTGAATGGCCGGGGCACGAAGTCTGCATAACTTCGGGTTATTCCTCCTAGTTTGGTGTATTCAATAAAATTATCCGTCTTATTGTAATGTGTGTATTTTGTTGTTGTTGTTGTACCATTATACAAATTCCCTAAATAGTTTTTGGGGAATAATTCTGGAGTGGCAGTCCTTGCCCCGACTGTATGAGTATATCTCGGCAATCGCTTAACCAATATCTCCCAAAAATGTTAAATATTTGCGAAATCGGACAATAACCGCACCCGGCCCTTAGGGGTGTTTTTGAAAAGCAAAAGCATATGTAGTGATGGTCAATTGATAAGATTTAATATCACAGGGCAACAAATTTCAAAAAGTTGTAGGTGGTGGGAATCGGACCACCAGCATTTGATTCAGATTTTTTATTTGAAAAAGTTGGTTAAAATAAAAACTCATTTTATTATATGTATCGCACGTTTAATAATATACAGATGTAATTCAAAATTTACGTTTTTGGAGATTTCATCATACTAAGCTTGATAAGAAGAATATGTTCAGCCCAACAGATAACTAAACTTCCCAATAATGGCGAAGATATGGGATAATTCTGTATATTATTAAACGTGCGATATGTTACTGGCCAAACCCGATCTTGGGAGAAACTAGTTTTGCAAAATTAGTGATATCTAGATCCGATACACATCCTTCTAACGCGAAATTAAGTGGCTTTGGCTTTTATTAATATTTTGAACTCATTTTAGTGAATGCAATCGGTCGCATTCCCATCACTTCTTGAGTCTTGCAATCTGTATTTAGATGAATCTTTTGGCAAAAAACTATGATTCTAGTAAAATTTTTGAAAAGGGTTGTGGATCTCTCGGTGCGTAATACAAGAAATTTTGTGTGCTGGGTATAAGACATTCAATGTGACCCGAATTTAGACTTGTTTTTATTCAATATATTACATATTAATATTTTTAACATACATACATATGCACATTTTTCTAATTAATTTTAGCATGCCAACGAAGATGTGGAGAAAATGATTCTGGGTAATAAATGCGATATGACAGATAAGCGTGTTGTTAGCAAAGAACGCGGTGAGGCGGTTAGTTGAAATTAATCTATCTTGTATTCACAACTACTTCATAGCTAAACAATAATACTGTTTACAGATCGCGCGGGAGCATGGTATAAGATTTATGGAAACATCTGCCAAATCCAACATCAATATCGAGCGCGCATTTTGTGAACTGGCTGAAGCTATACTAGATAAAACGTCTGGTCGCGAAGCAGCCGAGAATCCTGAACGCCTGGTAGTTGATCGTCGAAATAACGAAAAAGCGCCAGCCTACAAGAGTTGTTGTTCTTAAGGACACATACCATAACAGCCACCCCCAATCTACCATGCCACCAACAGCACCACCACCAACTACCACATTTAAAACCTTATTGGTACTAAATATCAGAGGCCAATAAGAGTTGCGAAATCATTAGAATAGTTTTGCCTAATAAAAAATAAGATACTATCGATTTTTTACTTAAAGAGAAAGTAATTACTTATCAACAGCTACTCAACTCGCTACTATATGTATGTGTGTATTGTGTTTTTTTTTTATAAGACGAAAAGGGATAAAATGTTTGTAAAAAGTAAGAATTGAAAAATGGTATTGCTTGTGCAATGATTTACATACATAGGTGATCATGATACATATGCTTACTCGCTTCTAAAAAGAAATTTAAAAGAAGAAAGTAATGAATTACAAAAAATTTTAAAGTATACTTATTAACTGGTTGTTAGGATGGTTAATGAGGTGAAATGTAGTTTAAGTAATTAAGTATCGGTTTCTTAATATCCATATACATAATCACGTAAATATTATCTCACATGCAAAACAATTAAAATGAAAAGTTTATAAAAAAAAATCAATGAAATATCTGTTCCACATAAGTTCCACAGCGGTGCATGTCTCGCGAAATGTCCGCGACTGCGTTCTAATGTGAACAAGGAACGGTTAATAAACTGTAAAACCCCTCACATACGAGCATTGGAGCTTGAATTTTGCGAAAAAAAATGCGAATGCAATAGAAATAATGCCGTAAATTGAACTTTTACTGCCACACACTAAACGACCTAAAGTATCAGTCATATCATGAGTATCCCCGTTTCAAAGTGATATTGTTTGCCAATTATGTTCATTTCTTTATTTTTTAGAATTTTCAATTATATTGTTTGCCAATTATGTTCATTTCTTTATTTTTTAGAATTTTCAATTAAAATACACCAGCCCATTTAATTTTGCAGTTTTCTTCCATATAAAAGTAAATTGTGTTGATTCGTTATACGGAAGCAAATGCGACAAAAATATCTAAAAACTCAAAGGCAATTTTTATAGATAGATTGGCGCTTACACATTTGTTATTGTTTGGCCGAGCTTTTCCGATTTGTGGCGTGCGCCTTGATGTTGTTAGACAAAGGGGAGGGACCTACAGTTTTACACCGACTCCTAACGGCGATTGTATTTTTATGAAAAGGTGTTTTTCATGGCAGAAATACACTCGGAGGTTTGCCATTGCCTGCCGAGGGGCGACCGCTGTTAAGAAATAACCTGCGATGTTGTTTTAACCAGGCTTGAACCCAGGCCTTGCGTAGAAACTTGCATATTATTACAGAAAGGACCAGTTTTTTAGTGCCAGTTTAAACTTAGTTTTAACCACGGCCGTGCACTGAAAAACTGGCCCTAAAAGTGAATACGCTATAAATTTGTCTGCTGAATAAGGTCACTTCTGAGAAAAAAGTTTGATATTTGGATGAAAATTTGTTGAATTTTTTTTTAGTTTTCGACAAGGTTTTAAATTTGGGTTTATATGGGTTTTTGTTAGAGAATGAACTGCATTTTAATCGAAATTTCTTAAAAATAAACAAATAATCATAATTGGCAAACAATGAGGTGCTATTGATACGACCGGTACTGTATGAATCTTATTGCTATCGTTACCCAATTCGTTTGCACGAGTTTTGCGGAGCTAAATTTCGCATTTAACTAATTTATAGTTGGCATATGTGTTCAAATTTGTTGGCAACTCATTTTATGCCCACTTCACTTGGATATTGAGAAATCGTCCATTACAGGTTATAATGCAATTTCTTGGCAAATACCAAAAAAATGCTTACAGCCCAATGAGTTTACCCAGTGACAAAATTATATTCGGCAGCGAAAACATACATTTTAACCCCCTGCTTAAGAAACAGTTGATAGTACAAGCGAAAAAAAGATTTACATAAATGCAACTTTTTATTTGATTAAAAAGTATTTCATTATTAATAAACTTAAGAGAAGAAATTAGTCTTAGCAATTCTTTTGTTTATTGTAGTTTCTTATCTTCTTTACCACTTCTTGTGGACAATGTATTACCTTCCTCCTTGAAGTGTAGAAATACAAAAGAGAATACAAATACGCCTATCATCATTGAAAAAGCACTGGTGTAGTAAGGAAACGCGCTGGGTATGAAGCGTTCATATTCAGTGTGTTCTAGTGGACGCACAGAGACCTGTGTTGTATTGTAAAGGTGCGTATAGCCAACGCGATCGTAGTTTACCTTGAATTGGTACACCCCGTATACATCGGGTATCTTAAATTTGGCTTCATAACGTCCGCCATTGATTTGTTTGAGTGTGGTACGTACAAATGGATCAATGCGAACGAATTCCAGTTGTACGTCATTGGCTTTGAATGGCTGCCATTTTTCTTGCACTAACTCTTCTATGTTGATTGTATATACAACAGGGTCGGTTATTGTGTACGCTTGCTCCGGCGGATTATACTCGCCCTCTTTGTGATGATTCACACTGGCCACACGCAAACGTCCACTTTCGCCAAATGCCCACTTACTTATTGCAGTAGCGACATCCCGATTACTTGCTTGCTTGTGAGATATACCATCTTGTGCATTTTGTATAGGTTCAGTAAAGGCTTCGTCGGAAAAGAAATGTAACGATCCAGAAAAGACAACACGAGCATTATTTCTTGCTTGCAAAGCGGCAATAAGTAATGTACCGCGTCCAACCGCATGCGGGTATTCTTTCACAGGTTGGTCAGGATTATAACTATACGCTGTACTCTCTGCAGTAAGCAATTGAAGCACTAAAGGATTTTCCTTGTCGGCTAAAAGTCCGGTGCCTCGGTAAATCAACGGAGCAGTTTTTAAGGGTCCAACAATAATAGCGGCGTCAATGAGATTACGTGCTGACGTTAAAATTGTAGTGTGATCTCCCATATCTGAAGAGTCATAGTTGAGGTGATCAATAACGGCTGCACCTTCTTCGTCCACTTCGAAACCGCATTCCGATGCGAACTCACGCAGTGCATCGCCAGACTGCTCACTGGCAGCCACCAACACATTGCCACCATCGTCAACGAATTCAGTGAGCTTTTCTACGCTAAGATCACCACCGAACTCCTCAACACTTGGTGCAAATACAATAACATTTTTGTAGATATATTCACCATAACGTGAAAGGACTAAGCCAGAATCATCAGCCAATTTATAAACTAGCTTAAAGCCTCGATCTGTTGAAGAAAATGCACGTACTTTTGTTATGACCACGTCACTAAAGAGGAATTGATTCGGGCTTACCTTGCAATGATTTGAAGAATATAGAATGTGTCTCACGAATTGCCAAATTATCAAGTAAGACTAAGGTATTCGCATCAGAATCCAAAATCGCATTCGAAGCTTGAATAGCCAGAAAAATAAATACTAAATACCTCGATACACTCACCATCGTGGATTCTAGCCGGACAATTTTCGGAAGATGTCTAATTCAGGAATGTAAGAAATACATCGATGCACACCATTCGATATACCGAATAAAACCGATGCTTTGTACTCAGGGCTGCCAACTCACCTTAGCTATGAGGTGCCATATCAAGGCGAATTTAAACAAGGTGAAGTTAACAGAACAAAAGCAAAAACTTCAATAATGCCTGGGTTATAATGGAAGTAACGAAACTGAGTGAACTTTCACTTAATTATCTATTTTATGGGAAATGAATGCAAATGGTTATAATGCACGTAAACGTAACGTAAAACGGAACAATCTAAAATCAGTAGATCCTTACGAATTCGCCGCGATTTGTTACGATTCGCCCCGTCCATTATAACCAAGGCAACAATTTGACAGCACACTCTTCAAAAGCAAAAACAAAATACATGTATGCTTTGGAGCGAATTGAGATTTGACATAACACCCTCCATACAAAATACATGTGGTTGTCGTTGTTGTAATCTAAATTCGCCAGTAATACCACCTTGTTCAAATTCGCCTTGGATCTATTGATTTTAGATGCTTACGTTTTACCAAGGCGAATTTATACAAGGTGGTGTTGATGGCGAATTTAGATATTCGCCGCGGTACTTATTAATGTCAAAATGATGTTTGTTGTAAACAAAGCGAATTCATATTACAGCAAACACATCAAGGCGAATTTATATAAATTCGCCTTGAAACACATCATTTTGACATTAAGTACCGCGGCGAAAATCTAAATTCGCCATCAACACCACCTTGTATAAATTCGCCTTGCGTTTTACGTTGCGTTCAAGTGTATTATAATCGTTTGAATTCATTGCCCATACAATAGATAATTAAGTGGCAGTTCACTCCGTTCCGTACGTTCACGTACTCTTATGTAGATAATGGCCCGTAGTCATAGTCAAAATAAAGTCGACTTTAAAGTTAGTTGCAGCTTTTTGACATAATTTTCAATGGGATATCTGTCAAAAAAGCTGCAACTAACTTTAAAGTCGACTTTATTTTTACATGACTACGGGCCATTGTCTCTTCTCTGCTAAATTTTTCAGTGCCCGCGGCCACACTGCTTGTATCCATTCGCCTTGATTTGATTCCGAGGCGAATTTATATAAATTCGCCTTGATTTGTATAAATTCGTCTTGATTTGTTCCATATTTTGTCTGCGTATAGTCAACGTTGGTCGACGTTTTTAGAAAATGGAAAATATTCCGCGTACTCACGAAGGTAAGTTAATTGTTATCCAATATTCAATAAATCTCCTCCATACACGTGCATGAAATAGTTTCTTTGAATAGTTTTAAATTTACTAAGAGTTATAGCATTACCGCACCCCCTTATTGATTTGGCTTCTCATCATGCAACTAAATTATGTTTTTTTTTTTCATATTACAGATATTGAGGCACAAATTGCCGACATTCAAACTAAGAAAAAAGAAATCCAAAAAAGTACCACAACTGGCGTTGGATTATTGGACAGTGGAGGTTTCTATGACACTGATTTGTACGACGAGGCCGGCGGTAAAGGCAAACGTCGCTATGAAGGATATAATACATCCATTGCTGCTAATGATGAAATGGATGAAGATGAAGACGAAGGATTCCCAGTGCCACAAAAGCGTACGACTTACACGGCACCTACATCTGTGTTAAAAGATGTTACACAGGGTAAGGAAGATGTTGATCCTATGGCTGAGAGGCGCCGCCCAACAATAGCGGATAGGGAAGATGAATATAGGCAAAAGAGACGCCGCATTATTATATCACCCGAGCGAGCGGATCCGTTTGCTGATGGTAAGTGCAATTAAAACATATATGCTTATGTATATATTCGTAAGAAACACATTGACTACATGACCCTTTTAGGTGGAAAGACTCCTGACATCGGATCAAGAACATATCCGGATATTATGCGTGAACAGTTGCTCAAAGGAGAAGAAAATGAGGTAATTACTACTATCAAGAAAGAATAGAAAAAATACTTTCTAATATAATTTGATACTTAATAATTTTCGAAAACAGCTTCGCAGAAAAATACAAGAAAAATCCAAGGACGGCACTTTGATAAAATCTTCAAATGGGGAGGTTGCAAAAGAGACTACTACACGAAAACGTGGTCGTTGGGATCAAACAGTGAGCGAAAGCTTTGTGCCCGCTAAAGCGGCAACAACTCCTAGTAGTGCGGCAACACCAACTTGGGAAGATGTAAGATTTTTAATATATGTAGGTATTTTATAGACGCAAATATATATGTATTTTCATATGTTCAGAAAACTCCCGGCGATCATCGTTGGGATGAAACGCCAGGCCATAAAGGCAGCGAAACACCGGGTGCTACGCCTGGTCTCGGAACACGCATTTGGGATGCAACACCTGCACATCCAATGACACCGAGCCATGAGACGCCAGGTCACGAAAAATCAGCACGACGTAATCGTTGGGACGAAACTCCGAAAACAGAGCGCGAAACTCCTGGCCACAGCGGTTGGGCCGAGACACCAAAACCAGATCGTGGTACAAGTGACAATGTTGTCGCCGAATCTACGCCGGGAGCTTCAAAACGTAGATCGCGTTGGGATGAGACGCCATCGAATGCCACACCTTCAATGACACCATCTTCGGCTATGACTCCGAGCCTCACACCAACTATGACTCCTCATGCTACGCCAGGGCATATAACTCCACTCTTAACGCCCGGTGGCACCACACCCATTGGCGTCAAGGCAATGGCCATGGCCACTCCAACTCCGGGTGCATTGGCAGCTATGACACCAGAACAACTTCAGGCATATCGCTGGGAAAAAGAAATCGATGAACGTAATCGACCCCTCACAGATGAAGAACTTGATCAAATGTTTCCACCAGGTTATAAAATATTACCGCCTCCTGCTGGATACGTGCCACTGCGCACACCTGGACGTAAATTGATGGCAACACCAACACCGATAGCGGGCACACCCGCTGGATTCTTTATTCAAGTTGAAGATAAGAATGCCAAATTCATGGACAATCAACCGAAAGGTCAAAATTTGCCATTTATGAAACCGGAAGATGCACAATACTTTGACAAATTGCTAGTAGATGTGGATGAAGACAGTCTTTCTCCAGAGGAAGCAAAGGAGCGTAAAATAATGAAATTACTCTTGACTATCAAAAATGGTTCACCTCCAATGCGAAAGTCATCACTTCGGCAGATAACAGACAAGGCGCGAGAATTTGGAGCCGGTCCTCTATTTAATCAAATCCTTCCATTGCTTATGTCCCCTACCCTGGAGGATCAGGAACGTCATTTACTTGTAAAAGTTATTGACCGCGTACTATATAAGCTTGATGACCTGGTGCGTCCATATGTTCACAAAATTCTTGTTGTTATTGAGCCACTGCTTATAGATGAAGATTATTATGCCCGAGTGGAAGGTCGCGAAATAATCTCAAATCTGGCAAAGGCGGCAGGTCTAGCTACTATGATTTCCACGATGCGTCCCGACATCGACAATATCGACGAGTACGTCCGTAACACAACAGCGCGTGCATTTGCCGTTGTGGCATCTGCACTTGGAATACCGTCTTTGCTACCCTTTCTCAAAGCTGTATGTAAATCAAAAAAATCGTGGCAAGCTCGCCACACCGGTATAAAGATTGTGCAACAAATAGCCATATTAATGGGCTGTGCTATACTGCCACATCTGAAAGCTTTAGTGGAAATCATTGAGCATGGACTTGTGGACGAACAACAGAAAGTGCGTACTATAACTGCTTTGGCCATTGCTGCCCTAGCGGAAGCAGCAACGCCTTATGGTATTGAATCTTTTGATTCCGTTTTGAAACCCCTCTGGAAGGGTATTCGTACACATCGTGGCAAAGGTTTGGCTGCTTTTCTGAAGGCCATTGGTTACTTAATTCCACTAATGGATGCTGAATATGCCAATTACTATACCCGTGAAGTCATGTTGATTTTAATCCGTGAATTTCAATCGCCGGACGAAGAAATGAAAAAGATCGTATTGAAGGTAGTGAAGCAATGCTGTGCTACTGACGGTGTAGAAGCTCAATACATTAAGGAAGAAATTTTGCCGCATTTCTTTAAGTTTTTCTGGAATCATCGAATGGCCTTGGATCGCCGTAATTATCGCCAACTTGTGGATACTACTGTAGAAATCGCCAATAAAGTAGGCGCTTCTGAAATAATTAATCGGGTGGTTGATGATTTAAAAGATGAAAACGAACAGTATCGAAAGATGGTTATGGAAACCATAGAGAAAATTATGGGAAATTTAGGCGCAGCAGATATTGATTCACGTTTAGAAGAACAGCTTATCGACGGAATACTTTACGCTTTCCAAGAACAAACCACCGAAGACGTGGTAATGTTAAATGGATTCGGTACAATTGTAAATCAGCTCGGAAAGCGAGTTAAACCATACTTGCCACAAATTTGCGGTACTATCCTTTGGCGTCTAAATAATAAATCGGCTAAAGTGCGTCAACAAGCTGCTGATTTAATATCGCGCATCGCCATAGTAATGAAAACATGCCAAGAAGAAAAGTTGATGGGTCATTTGGGCGTTGTGTTATATGAGTATTTGGGTGAGGAATACCCAGAGGTTTTGGGTAGTATTTTAGGTGCCCTTAAAGCAATTGTTAATGTCATCGGTATGACGAAAATGACCCCACCCATTAAGGACTTATTGCCGCGTCTAACACCTATTCTGAAGAATCGTCATGAGAAAGTACAAGAGAACTGCATTGATTTGGTAGGAAGAATTGCCGATCGCGGACCAGAATATGTATCAGCACGCGAATGGATGCGTATTTGTTTCGAGTTACTTGAACTTCTAAAAGCGCATAAGAAAGCGATTCGTCGCGCAACAGTCAATACTTTTGGATATATTGCCAAGGCAATTGGCCCACATGATGTACTAGCCACTCTGCTAAATAATTTAAAAGTTCAAGAGCGACAAAATCGTGTATGCACAACAGTAGCCATTGCTATTGTGGCCGAAACTTGTCGACCCTTCACAGTTCTCCCTGCATTGATGAATGAATATCGCGTACCCGAATTGAATGTACAAAATGGCGTACTTAAATCCCTATCTTTTCTGTTTGAATATATTGGGGAAATGGGCAAAGACTATATTTATGCAGTTTGCCCTTTGCTGGAGGACGCGTTAATGGATCGCGACTTGGTTCATCGACAAACTGCTTGCGCTGCTATTAAGCATATGGCACTCGGCGTATATGGCTTCGGGTGTGAGGATGCATTAATTCATTTGCTCAACTATGTATGGCCTAATATTTTTGAGACTTCGCCCCATTTAGTTCAGGCTTTTATGGACTCTGTAGATGGCTTACGGGTTTCGCTGGGACCTATTAAAATTTTGCAATATACACTGCAAGGACTATTTCATCCGGCACGGAAAGTGCGTGATGTTTACTGGAAGATCTATAATTCTCTTTACATTGGAGGACAAGACGCATTGATTGCAGGTTATCCAAGGATAACTAATGACCCAAAGAATCAATATGAAAGATATGAGCTGGACTATATGCTTTAAAAGAACCTGACGGAAAAGATAAAAGCAACATTTTTTTTTAATTTTATTACAAACTATGTAGCCGTATAATGTTTTTAGATGTAAAAATTCCGAACAATTATATAGAAATAGTTACAAGCATATGTATACATACTTATTTCGCTTACCCCCCTATTATGAATTTCCGTACGATAGACGATAACCGCTTGCAAGCGTATCGTAGAAATTAGTTTTGGTATTATTCTTTTCATACGCCCGACACACGCCTGACAGATCTATTATTTTGAGTGTCTGTGGTTTTTTTATCGTTAACCAAAACATTGGTTCGTAATAGGGGATAACAGAATGTAAGCGTTTATTGTGCATCGTACGAATTCATAATAGGGGGGTTAGAATTAATATTAAAAAAAAAGAATCAGATTTGATAAACTTTATAAAGTCAAATTTTCATATATCGCTCGCTTAGATTGTTGCTAAGTTCCAATTTAAAAATTTTAGAGGAGGAAAAAACGTATAGCTATTTTCTTCAAGTATTTCGCAAAAGTTTAAATACAGCATTTTGCCTGTTCAACGAAAAGCAAAACTCCATACGAATCAGATAGATTTTTGGTGCTTCTTTTTTTTTACTTAGCAAATTTCCCTTTCATTGAATATAAACGAGAGTAAATAGAACAAATGCCTTTATTCTTTTCGAAACAATGCATTTTAAGTTTATCTAGCCGCCTATATCAAAATATGAGTTTTCGTAAAAAGTGGACTTACCAACTTTTTACTCTAAGCTAGCGATATGTATTTTCTTTATTTATAAAGCATGTTCAAGCGCGGTTGCAACAATCAATTTTAAATTTATCAGCCTGTTAAAATTTGAAGTTGATTGGCGAAACTAGGGATAAATCTGTTTAAATTTTTTGCTTTTTTATTTTTTTATCTTTAAAATTGATCCGAATTTTTTCCCATGTTATGCTACATGTATTTACCTTTAATTAATTTGCATTCTGTCATTCGTCATCGTTTTTACACTATGGTTTCCAGATGAGTTAAAAATTAGACTATTTCAGTTAACAGTCCAATTCTACGCCCACTGCTGTATCAACAACCACAGCTTCATATTCTTTTGAAGCTGCATTTTTCAATCTATCAGGCATGTTCTGAAAATCTTACGATTCTTGAATATTTGTAATGAAAGCAATAAATATTTCTAAGAGAAACTGCTAAGAACGCATCATTTACGTCACATACATATCGTCGATGCCCCTGCAAAACAGCCTATCTTACGGCACTCAAATTTTACAGGAGGGCAAAAAATCTGTTTTTCGTCGAAGGCATTGACTTGATAGGCGGAATTTTTACCAGCTATTACTTTTGTTTTAATAACGATTTTCAAAATCTCGATGCGTGGAGTTCAGGGCTACCAAACCGCATTTTTGCCCCAACGGCGATTTAGGCGGTTTTGCAAAGGCATCGACGATATGTACACCTATTTAGTCCCATTATTTTGCATTTTTCTTTAGAAATCCCCCAAAATAGGTTTTGTAAATAGCCCCGATTTTAAATAGAATAGAATTTAATTAGGTTAAAAGCCAAGTCGAAGCGATACCGAAGGAAACGTGCATTCGTAAACCAATGCATGTTTACGCGAAGACGAAAATTATGTGTATGTTGTCAATTGAAAACAATTCATTGTTGTAACAGCATACAAATTCGGACATTCGTTCGGCACATCCGCATTTAACCTACTCAGGTAGAAAATAGCCTGCTGCAGTAGCCAGAGCGAAGTTGGACTATTGTTGTTCTGGTCTCCCGAGGCAGATGGAGCTCCGTCGCGTCTATGTCCGGTGTTTGTGTGCCTAGAACGGCATTCACAGGTCTTGAGTCTACATAACTCGAGACTGCGTCCCTGTGAATGCCATTCAAGGCCTGTCTGTGAGCTGACGGGTCCAGAGGCTGCTTAATGAACCTCTGGACTTGGTCCGTCAGTTCATATAGATGCCTCCTGACGTGCCTCGGGGAGGGTTCCTCTGCAAGCAGCTGTCTATTTGGCTGGCCACATCTGTGGCTCGACTGTCGTGGGTTTCTGTTGACGGCTTCAAAAGTTTTGTGAGTATTAGATTCAAAACAGGACTGTCACTCCAGCAACACTCCCCAAAAACTATTTCGAGAGCTTGTATGATATTACAACAACAACAAAAAAGTTGTGTCGCTGGGAGTCGACGTCGATCTTATTTAGCCAATACACAATTTGTGCTGACAGTAATCAATTGAGGGGTATCGCCGATCTAAGCGGGGTTAGGTCGCCGAAACAACAGCCCTTGGTCGGGTAAAACCCGAGTCATTCCGGTACGTAGAACCGGCTGTCTTATTAAAGTGAAATGTACATTTCTGATGTAAGTATATATGTATGTATATTGGATAATTTTATTAAACTTCTACTGTACATACATACATTGAAATACAAGACTTGTTCACTTTATACTGAGTATATAATACAAAATAATATATATATCTATAAAAAGAGCAGTAGATAATTTGTTCATTAAATGTATGTATATCCTAATATTTCAGTTTCATACAAATGATCATTCGAGAGTTTGGCTGTGCTCAACTCTGTTATCGCTCCATTAATTCCTCAAAAACCATAATTAAATTTTCTAATCCAAATATATAATTGTGGTCTGGAGTTGTGCCATCGGCGGGGAACACATGTGCAAAATCTATCATTTTCACCTTAACCCATTGTGTTGCATTTGTTGAATCATCTCCCAGGACTTTCCCAAAATTTATTTGTGCGCTATAGTTATGTGCATCGCCGTTAGTCCTCAATGGAATGCCATTGTAACGGTGCATATCTGTTTGCTTGAAGTGTTCCTCAAATTTGTCAAAGTCGTAAACTAGTAATAAGGAACTGGCATAGAAATTGTAAAGTGTTTGCACTTTAAACCAGTCTCTGATTCTGTATAGTTGCTTCAGTATTTCGTATACAAGTAGTCTATAAACTTTTCCGTTTTGAGCGTTAATGAAGAGCGCAATAGCGGCTCGAAAACCATCGGCGTCTAATTTTTTGCCATATTCTTTACTGTAGCGGAGCGCTTTGCTGTCTGTAAGTGTATATACCTGGAAGCCCGGCAAACAAAGTCCCAACACTTGTTTACAGCGCGCATACTTTTGTTCTTCTACACGGCGTTTTTGTTCTGTTGCTATTGGATCCCAAGTACGTTCTCCTATTTTAATATCCATTATACACGGTTTTTTCATGCCGTATGTGAGATCCTCCATTTTCAAAAAAGTATGCTCGCAATTGTTGACTACTAATTTTACGATTTTATGGTATTTGGGCACCAGGGAACGTAGCATCATCAATATGTTAGGTTCATTCGATTTCTCTGCCTGTTGCAAGCTTTCGTAAAAGTTTAGTTCACGTGCACCACATTCTGGCTTACCAAATGGTTTTAGTACGCAACCACTGTTGTCTTGTAAAATGCCTACAGCAGCTGTATCAAATGTGTGACCAGCCACTTGTGTTTCCATTGCTGCAAACCCGGAAGGAAGTTGAATATCGAATTGCCCAACAACCGAGCTATTGTTTGTGGTTATATTCGACATTTTTGTAGAATTTTGACTTGGCATTGGTGGATAACTTGCCGCGAGTTGACGTCAAAAGCAATTGTAAACACATATGAGTAACGCAAATTCGTAATAAGACTTCTTTCCAATAAACCCGAGCAACCAAACAGTTAATTCAGCTTGATAGTGTTGCAATATAATCGATACATTATCGAGCCTAAATTATCCGTTCAACATCGACTTTACCGATTGTTTTCACTTGTTACTCGTCTCTGTACAAGGCGAATTTATACAAGGTGGTGTGGATGGCCAATTAAATTTTCGCCGCGGTACTACTGAATATCAAAATGATGTGTTTGTTGTAAACAAGGCGAATTCATTTTACAACAAACACATCATTTTGACATTAAGGCGTACCTCGGCGAAAATCTAAATTCGCCATCAACACCACCTTGTATAAATTCGCCATTTGTTGAATTGGTTTAGCACAAACCAAAAGTGGAAATCAAAATATTAACGATGTACTGGACTGTGTACGCGCTTGTGTGTAAAGCATAGAGTTTAAAACTGATTTGTAAATAGTAAAACAGAATATCAAAACCAAGGCGTATTTAACAAGGTGGTGTTGGCCGTATATAAGTAAAAAATTACACTAACAAGTTAAACGCTGATGTCCATACTGTCATTGGTATGAGTTACAACAAACACATCATTTTGACGTAATGGCCTCCACGGCGAAAAACTCAGCTGTCGCCGCAACACCACCTTGTTTAATACACCTTGATCAAAACGGTGCAAAAACTATTCACTTGCAAGTTTTTACTAGTTGTGTGTTCAACTTTTTCTGCTAGTTTTCTCTTCTTAATTTTACGCTCTATTTTGCTTTTACGCTCTCGCTGTAACGTTTTATTAGAGAAGCTACTATACAAACCTAATTAGTCGTTTCCGTACGCCACGTTCATATAAAGTTTGTGAAAGGCGAAGGCGTGAAGTACGGGAACAGGCTAAGGCCCGGTTGCTCAAAGCCTTGTTGACACTAATCACCGGTTAACATCGTTATCGACGTTTTCGACTCCATACATATAACACGGTGTCGGTAACGTCGATAACGATGTTTAACCGGGGATTAGTGTCAACTAGGCTTTGAGCAACCGGCCCTAAATGTTTCACAACAAAATATGTTATTGGCAAAATTTGGCAAAGTTGGAAATAAATTACTGAAACTGAGCTAACGTAACTTTTTGGAGTCATTTCAATTTTTGGTCAAAGTCACTTCTCCTTTTTGTACAATTAAAAAACTCGAATGAGGGTTTAGAGCGAGTTTTTCAGTGCTAGTTTAAACTTAGTTTAAGTAAACTGAGTTTAAATTGAACAGCTGGCTGATATTTGATTGGCTGATCTTTGTTTAAACCAGCCAGATCGGGCGTTTAAATTGAGTTTAATCCACGACCGTGCACTGAAGAACTGGCCCTTAGGGCCGTTTGCACCATGTCTAGTTAACGCTAACTGGAGGTACATCCTTCAGTTAAGCACATCGGCTGCTTTATCAATCACATGTTATATGATAGGTGTCGATAACGTCGATAAAGATGTTTAACTGGGAGTTAGAATTAACTAGACATGGTGCAAACGGCCCTTAATGTACTACAGATGTCAGTTTTGAAAAAACATCGATAGATACATTAACCATTTATACATCGAGTGGACAAATTTCGACGCATCGAAGCAAAACATCGATATTTTCGATGCATCGATGTTTTTCCGACATCCCTACCGATTTCGCACAGGCAAGGGATACGAACGGAGTCCGTCGGAATTTGCACGGCAATAAATTCCTATTTTTTTATAAGTTACTCGTATTTTTGCATTGTTTTAGTTATTGGATAATAAAGTAGATATGGCGTTGAATCCACAGTACGAGGATATCGGTAAAGGATTTGTGCAACAATATTATGCGACTTTTGACGATCCCAATCTCAGACCGAATGTGGCCAATTTCTATAGTGTGAGTGTGAATGTGACTTGCAGCTGGTGTTTCCGCTGCTGTCTACTAATATTGCTGCTACTGATGCTCCACCTTGGGTTCTTTTTAAGAGCATGATTTAAATTTTAATTTCCTCCAAAATACATTTGATTGAAATGCATTAAGATAATTGAGTCACCAAAGCTGCTATCGCCATTGGTGCTATTTTTAGCTTTGTCTTATAAGTGGATTCCGCGTTTCAATTTGCCTTAATATTGAAGCATTTTAAAGCAGCAGTAGCATTGAAACAAATATGTATAACCAATGTAAAATGTTCTAACAAACTACGTTTTGCTATAGGCAACAGATTCGTTTATGTCCTTTGAAGGCGTACAATTACAAGGTGCCCCTAAAATAATGGAAAAGTTATCCGTAAGTACTTCCGTCCAAGTTTGATGTGATGTTGAATTAACTCTACTCCTTTTATGTAGAGCCTATCGTTCCAGAAAATCTCACGAGTTATAACAGCAGTTGATTCCCAACCAATGTTTGATGGTGGCGTTTTAATCAACGTGCTGGGAAGGCTTAAGGTAAATTTAATTTCCAAATGAAATATTGAATAGTCTTTACAATTATTCCGACCCCTCTATTCTAAAAAAAGAATCCTCATGAGAAGGCATATATTTAAGTAGTCGAACTTGTTCTTGATCTATTTGTGTACACGCTGCATTTGACGCCCTCATCAGACCGATGATGACCAGCCGCATGCGTACATTCAGACATTTGTTCTTAAGCCTGTGGGTGGTAGTTTCTTCGTACAACATGACATTTTCAGACTATCACTACACGACGTATAGTCACGCGGAATATATGTACATATGCTTCGCGTTTACTGCCTTAGACTCGCACTCGACGGTGAACGCTGCAGCTACTGCTACGTTAAATAGAAGAATATTTTTGAATAACTATGCTACTTTGCTAACGTATGTTATCTTAATTAACGAAAAAAATATATATGCAAATCAAATGGCAACAATTTAGGATAATAAATTTGACTGACTAGTGACTGTGTCGCGCGTAAAGTCGCCAGCTTTGCCACCAAACACCGCCTGCCGATACGCTAGGATGTGCGATCATTAGATGAAGCCTATTCAGCGTTTTCGGTATTAATTCCACTACATAAACGAAATCGTATACGATGCGAGCCGATGACCACAAACATGAGTTTTTCGTATGTAAAATTTTTTAAATATATCTAAATCGACTACCCCAGGATATATAATAACTTGCCTCTTAACACTTTATATGTTACACATGCCCGTTTATTTAGAAATTGGGTTTGATGAACAAAACCTTAAGGACATAGTAGAATATCGTCCCCCGTATGCAGAAACATGAATGTGTAAATATGAATTGTAAAATATGAGGTTTTGTGTACGCATGAAATTCTGGGTTTTGGTATAACATAGAACATCCAAAGGTTAATCAAGTCAACCCAATAACTCAAAATTGGTAAATTTACATATTCATGCTTCTGGCATATGGGTGACGATATGTATGTGGTGTTAACATCCTCACTTTTTTACTAGCAAAATGTGGTTGTAAAGCTTTTTAAATATGTAGCTCATTGGAACGATATGTACACTTGTGAACAGCTAATAAAGCCAGCAACGTTCTGATCAATTTTGACTATTTTCTTTTTGTTTTGTTTATTATTATTTTTTCATAAGTCTAGCTCGTATAACAAACACCATATAAATCCACATTTCAAACTTTATGCAAAAATTATAAAAAAATCTGAAAAGTTTCATCTGAATTTTCAACTTTTTGACCAGATTTTTTAAATTAAATTAAATTAAAGCGTGGGGCGTATGTAATAGACTTGAATTGATATGAAAAGTAATATATGTATGTATGTACATACATATGTGGATATATGAATAACGATCACTTAAAATCGATCTCAAATTTTGTACTTGCTGTAGAAATTTTAGGTCTATGTTATGTAGTTTGACTATTGTCAATTAAATCTAATTCTTTGTATTGCACGTTGCGCTCCGCGTTTTTCGTTTTCAATCTCATAAATTGTTTATAATGACTTGCTAAAATTTCAAAATCAAAGTTATCAAAACAAATTCTATGCGACTGAGAATTTTTGTTTTTTTTTTTACTTTTTAGTCCATTTGTAAAAGCGTGGTATTTAAAAAAAATTTTATTTATTTTATTTATTAGTTTTTTAACTATAATTTTATTTTGATCTTTTTAGTCTTAAATTCAATTGATTTTAAAACTATTATAAGGAATAGAATAACACGCGACATCAATCTTTGGAATTTTCATTCGTACTGTCATCACGTAACTTTAAAATGGCAATTAAACGCAATTCACATACGTACTGTCATTACCGGAAATTGCTGCATCTTTTAGGCACACCATTACATTACATTAGTTACATCCCAAGCTAATAAAAGGGAGGTAAAAATACCCAAAATCGATCAAAATGTTTCTGGCTTAATTAGCTGATAACAAGTGTATATGAATGTGCGCAGAAGCTTTGGGAGAATACATTTTAATAAAAAAGCTTTACACATTTTATAAGAGACTAAAAGATATTGTAACATGCCCAAAAATATATATTATAAACGTTACTAATATTTATCACAAAGGTAACTGCCAGAATAATTACATCTCGTTACTTTAATTCACAAAGGCCCTAACTTTCGCCCTTTTTCGAAACTGTGTGTTTCACGGATTTTGGTAGGAAGGACTAAATTTACACCTTCAATAAAAATTTTAAAGTGTTAGTACCAAAAACAACAGAGATATAGTAAGCCCCTTAAAAAATCCCTACCTGTTTTTGATACTCTTTTTTTTATTGGTTAGGGCCTTTGTGAATTAAGGTAAACGACATGTTTGTATGTATAACTTGGTAGTACCAAACAGCTTTTATGTTTTAATTGTTAATTCACTAATAGCAGTTCGCTGTATAGTAGTATTTTAAAAACTAGATGTACTGACGATTGAGTTTTGAAAAAGTACATATGTGCATATATGTGTACCCTTGTGGTCATCTGATTAAGTTAAGTGACATTTTGACCAGTTCTGGCTATTTTTCTTTTGTCTATTTAATGCTTGTAATTTTTTTTATAAAAATCTATCATAACCAGCACCACATAAATCCACATTTCAAACTTCGTAAAAAATATAAAAAAATTCAACAAATAGTAACAAGTACACCCAAAAATTGTAAACTTTGATTTTTAATAATTTTTTTTGCTGACGCTGGCTCTACAATTAGTTTCATATCGAAGAAAACCGTCAACAAAGAAATCATTAAAAATCAATGACATATTCTAACTTCTTGAAATTTGCACTTTAACCTACTAAAATTTGGTGGGCTATAAAACTGCGTACTTTAAATTTATTTAAAAAGTCTGAACGAAAAGTTTAAAATATTTGGGTGCAATTGTTAAAGTTAGTTGAATTTGTATACGAAGATTGAAAGGAGTATTTATGTGGTGCTGGTTATGTAATGTGCTAGACTTTTATACAATTTTATAAAATTCATTAAATAAACAAAATAAAAATATGCAAAACTGGTCACAATGTCACTTAACCTAATCAGCTGACCACAAGTGTATGTTTGTATGTATTTACATTTAAATTTTCTGCACTGAAATTATATTTTTATTTCTAACTAATTTTGTAAATGTTTGCTTGATAAAATAATTTTACCGTTATAAGTACATATGTATGTATGTCCTTCAGTTTAGTCGCTTATCTATAATTTACGTTTTCTTTCTATTTGCAGTGTGATGAGGATCCACCACATGCTTTCTCGCAAGTCTTCGTTTTGAGGCCACTCGGCGGTACATTTTTCTGTGCACATGACATCTTTCGTTTGAATATACACGACACAGCCTAGTTGTGTTAACATTTTGATTACATTTATAATAATAATGATATAAATATTAAAAAATGGAGTGATTGTAATAACGTTAGAAATTGTGTAGCATTTATTTCGTGAATGTATAGTCGATTTGTCATTTAACGTTATTAGCTTATGGAAATAATAATGCATTGCTTTTAAATGGATTCTTTTTGTTGAAAATTTTTGATGCTTTTTAGTTACAACGCCTCAGCTAACCATATACGATATAATAAAATAGGAATGTACGTATTGGGCCGGGGCGGTCGCTATACAAAGAAAGTTTGTAATTACACTGCCTAGTTTGGAATATTGAATTTCTTGATTTTTGTATCAATATAAAAATGCTAAAAATAGCCAAAGCCGCCTTTTCTTTCTAAAAGAATATACACTTGTGAACAGCTGATTAAGTCATCAACATTTTGATCAACCTTGGCTATTTTTCTTTTGTTTAATTAATGTTTTTTATTTTTTCATAAAAGTCTAGCTCATTATATCTGTGGTCATAAGCAATAACCGCCTAAGTCGACTTAAGAAAGAATTGAGTTATATATGCTATCATATTCTGCGATTACTATTCCATGCCTGTTTGAAATCATCATCTCGCCAGCTAGGCTATTTGAAAAGTTATAGACGAAATTATTTTTGTTTCCCCATAAGGCTAACATTACAATCCAAATGCTTAAAACTTTTTTCTCGATTTCAGGTTTTTCGACAAACACCACATAACTTCACGTTTCAAACTTTGTGCAAAAGTTATAAAAAATCTCAAAAGTTTCATCGATGGCTGAGTGGAAGATCGACCTATCTCGGCTGCCAGTTCGAAAACGCTCTATCTCAAAAAACTTTTCAAGAACGCCCCATTTCAGAATTTTATCCAAAAACACCCTACCTCAAAATTCGGTTAAAAAATGCCCTATTCACTTCAAAATGTATTGAAAATATGCTGATATAGGGCGTTTTTGAATCGGCAGCTGAGATAGGGCGTCTTTGAAACGAATTCTGAAATAGGGCGTTCTTGAAAAGTTTTTTGAGATAGAGCGTTTTCGAACTGGCTGCCGAGATAGGTCGATCTTCCACTCAGCCATCGACTCATTAGAAGCATTACTCGATCTTATACAAAAATATCATGGTTTCCAAGGCTTTTTGTTTAGAGTGTTTTTTTTTTGAGTATGCAGTGGGCTATTAACCATTAAATTCTACGGTAATAATGTGGAAGTTTCAAGTTGCTAAAGAATCGCGTTGACTTTTAATAATTTTTTTTTTTCTGACTGCATGACGCAATTTTTCCATAAAAAAAAATTGGCGAATATATTTTGTATGGAAAAAAATTTATAATGCAGTCAGAAAAAAAATTAACAAGTAATTTTTAGCAAAAAAAAAACCGACTTCAACTCTCATATAAAAAAAAATATATATATATCTCATGATCCGCTGATCGGATCTTAACCAGATTAGTATGGGACCACCTCTGAGACACTACCTTTCCGATGCAAAAAGAATTAACGAAATCGGTTGACGTGGTCCAAGTTATGCGGTAACATACATAAAAAAAAAAAAAAATATTCCGACGAACTGATAACCTCCTCCTTTTTTGGAAGTCGGTTAAAAATCAACCTGCACATTATTACCCTGGAATTTAATGGGCTTTAGACTGCATACTCAAAAAAAAAATCAAAAAAATCTGAATAAAAAGTTCAAAATTCAGCTGAAACTTTGCAGATTTTTTTATAATTTTTGCACAAAGTTCGAAATGTGGATTTATATGGTGTTTGTTATATAATGAGGCAGACTTTTATGGAAAAAATATTAAACAACATTAATTAAACGAAAGAAAAATAGCTAAAATTGATCAAAATGTTGAAGACTTAATCAGCAGTGTAAATATTTGGCGCTCATACTTTTGCTAAGTGTTTGGGTGGGCTCTTCCTCCAATTTCCACAGTTTTACAACGCCTCCGAACTAAACTAGAAAATTAAAAATTTTTTGCAAAATGGGTGTGGCCCCACCCACCTACTTATGATGAAATGCTGTATCGCAGAAGGCGCTTTATCAATCTTCACCGAATGCGGTACGAACATTGCTAAGAGTGTAACAAAAATCTTTTTACCATTTTTGAAGTTAGGCAATAACCATGCCCACCTCCCATATAACGGTAATTTACAATTAATAAGCAGGACAATGACAATATGTTCAGTCTAACAGATAACTAAACTCCCCAAAAATGGCGAAGATATGTGTCTATGCATCTGTTATTTGTATATAAACTACATGAATTGATCAAACTTGGATTGTGTTTTCCTACAAAATTAAAATTTAGAAATAATTCCCTTTGTTGAAATGATTCCCGATATGTATTAACAGGTCCATACTGAAAATTTTGTAAACGAAAAACTGAATGAAGAATTTATAGCGGAACGACGCATATGGATGGCAAAGGACTGGCACCGTTCGGGAAATTTTCATGCAATAACAACATAAACGAATTTATACAGCTACAGCCCAAAATTATAAAACTCAAGCTTCTTTTCAAAGGGCTTTGAAATCATGTTCTGGCAGGTTCTGCAATTCACTTTCGAGTGAATTTGAGCTTTGAATTTAAATTGGCAGGGGTTGAAATTCACTCGGAAGCGAATTGCAGACCCAGCCCGATTCACACTTCTCTGAAGTAATATAGTTTTACTAATTAACAATTTTTTCTTTTAATATTTACGATATTGAAGTTATTATCATTAGTATTTAAAATGCATAAATTTATAGTATGTACACATACAACATTGAATTTAATTTCATGAAAGTTCTAAAACATACTTAAACAGCGCCTTATTCTTGTTTTTTTCGAGTTGTTTCGATCGTATTGAAAACGTCTTGAAGTGTTCCTTGGCTTACGCTGTAATCTGCAATATTCAAACGTCTCTTATTTTTTTCCATGGATCCATATAAAAACGAGTAACTAACAATTGGGACTGGCAAATAAAATTTAAAGCAATTATCGATTCGCTCCCTAAAAGCACAAAAGGCATACATAATAATTTTCCATTGAGTAAAATAGGGTAATTTCGCTTAACTGTAATTCAGAATCTTCATGCAAGAAAGTCACAAAACGAATCAAATTTTCGGAATCCTTATGTAAGCTGAAAACAACAAATTCATATGTATGTACATATGTACATATATATTATGTTTTTGTGAACACAAATCGATTAGTATTTAATGAGTTGAAATTTACTTCTCTTTGGCTTCTGCAGTTGTAACTCCATCAATTCTTAATTTTACATATAGGTAAAAACCTTTTGTATATCTGCTGCGTAGATATTGAGTATTACCAATTGTCCACATCTCGCCTTCGTTGTATATAAGCACACGATCGGATAATGCGTCCAACTCAACGGCGTTTGATGTTGTGAACACAAGCGTTTTACCTAAGAAACGTTTATAGCGCAGAACATTCCATATTTCACGACAAGTATGTGGTGAAAGTCCGCGTGTGGGTTCATCCAAAACTATAATCTTTGGTTGAGCAATCATTGCGAGTGCTATGTTGACCTTGCGTCGTCGATCATAGCTAAGTGTGCGAATAGTCTTGTCCATATAAGAACTCATGATGAAAGCGTGGGAGAGGTCACGTAAAATCCCTCTAATATCTTTCTGTTCAATACCGCGCAGCATACAAAAGAAACGTAAAATCTCACGAGGCGTAAAACTTGCCCATAGTCCATGGTCTTGTGGCGCGTATGCCATTTTTTTAAGCGCTTTTTTCAACTCATATTTTAGTTCGGTTCCATCAACGAAGATATCGCCGAATGCGAATTTGTTTTGACCAACAAGCTGCCCGGCTAAAAATGTTTTACCGCTATGACGTGTGCCATATATTGCTAGGCTTTGACCCCTGGAAGATGTTTTTTGATGACAGTTTAGTATCATTATTACAATGCTTAGCTTTAACTTCACTGTTAGAAACCAAATCAGTTTTTGCGGCTTTAATAAGTTTTTTTTTTTGATGTCATCTCTGGATATAAAAGTCGATTTGTCGTCGTTGTTCTTTCACCCAAAATTGAGTGTGGTATCTCTAACATAAAAAAGCTTCCACGGATGGTGAACATTTTTTTAATTCATATTAATAGTGGTATTATTCGGTTGCAACCATCGCAGATATACCGTTTTTGCTTATGCAGTCTCACTTCGAATCACTGATCGACTTTTGAAGCTTAAAACTATTTGGAAATTTAATTCAGTTTAATCGGAATTTTCGTTTTTGAGAAGACATTCGAAAATGCACTCAGAAGTTAGCCATACCCTACCAAAAAGCTGCATGAAGAACGACAACAACGCCAACCGTCAAGTAGCCAAAAACGTAAAAAACTCATTCATAGCCCACTAAAATTAGAATTTTTGTCAAAAGAAAAAATAGCTGCTCTTGGATTTTATGTTTTTTTTGGGGTTTTTTGCGTTTTGCAAGCTAATCTTGGATTTTTCGTAAAAAATGGTTCAATACAAATTTGTAGAGAGTTTAATTTCTCACATGTTTTATATACATTTTTTTTTTATTGTAAATAATTAGAAAAATTGATGCGCTTCGATATTTTCTGGAATAAAATCTTGCAGGTATTTTACAGTAGCAGAAGGTGGAACTTCACCGCTAAAAGTATGTACTTAGTTTCAGTGTTAATTCACCGCACGAAAGTTTTTTATGAGCTATTTAAAATTTATGCTTCAATTTGGCGCTTTGAACGACATCTAAATGTTTTTTGATTTCAAAATAAAAAATAAGGGTATATTTTTTTCGGTATAGAACAATTTTAGGGGGTGAGGGCATAACAATTCCGACTTTACTTTTTCCCTCCATTTTTGGACCACCCTAATGCACATACCATCGTATAGCCTCCTAAGTAAAAACACCATCATCTGATTGTTGAAAAATGCCTAAAGCTGAAATCACCTGTTTTTCGGTATTTACTGTTATCTTTAACAATTTCTTCAATTTCTATTACGATTTCTTCTATTTCAAAATAAAATAGGCACAACTTTTCAAAATTTCACGACGAAATAAGCCATAACCAAGATCTTCACTGTAATGCCAAAAGTCGTAACTAATATTTTTTTTTTTTGCATGAAAGGATGTGGGAAGTTGTAATTTGATGAAATGCATCATATCAATCAAAAAGTGAAATTTTTGTTAATTAGGCCTTTTGAGTTCCATGTGAAAATGTTAGTTACTTCTATTTGCATTTGAGTTTACGACGTACGTATTTACGTAGGAGTAAATACATACATACATAGTATGTACTAATACCACCGAGTAATATAAAGGGGATTTTACTTTCACTTACTCTTCAGCCAGAAATGAAATTGTATTCAATGAGTTCGTTGTTTTTTGTATTTCGTATTCCAGCTGATCAACCATAAATCGTTTTTTAAGGCTACTTTGCAAGTCTTGGTGGGCTATAAATTCTTTCAATTTCATTACATCGTCGTCATCGTAAGGATGTGTTGCAGAATGCAGCGATTTAACGCTAAAAAAAGTGAATCAAACTGATGGGCATTTTCTATTAATCAACCAGAAAAACTAAACGCTTACTCTTTTTTCGATGAGAATCGCTTTCGTGCTCTTCTTGATTCAATGAGGCAAAGTGCAATAAAAAGAAATACTGCAGACGTTAGCATAAAGCAAATTGATAATAAAATCCCGGGATCGTCAAATTTGAAAATACTTGTAACTGTAAAAGCGTAAAGATAAAAAATAGATGCATATGTATGTATGTATGTATGTATGTAAGTATGTACCAATCCATAAATAGTACCTATTCGTGTACAAATGAACATACATATACTAAAAAGTAATCTTGAATCGTTCTAAAAGAGATCGAGGACTAAAAATTCATTTCCACCAAGTCTTAACTGCAGTTTATGCCTATTGGACAAAGGATAATTCCTCCTACTACATAAGTACAAGCAAACGAAACGAGGAGAAAAGCAAACACTAAGAAATAAACCTTGCCGCTCACTCCATGTTGAAATTCTTGGAACTTATCTGAGCTCTTAGCTGCAGTTAAGCCTCTGGTGGAAATTGGCTATAAGGGTTCCTGCTTATTTGTCGCCAAACATACTTAATTACTGTATTTTGGAATGAATTTCCGTCACCCCTTGCCTTTTCCTTTTAAACAAGCCGGCTTCGGTGTTGTCCCATCTTCAGTGTCGCTTTTGGGATTCAGAACGTTATGTTACGTGCTATATGGTTTTCAATATGTACGATAATATCGAAAAACGAAAAAAATGGGACCTTGCTAATTAAAATTTAAACCAATAAAAATTAATTTAGCTGAAGGTAGTCCGGGTAAAGAGCACGCAGAATTTCTCTTTCGGTAAACTTAAAACTATTTAACTTAAACATAACTAAAGTTAAATCTAGTGCTTAAATCTAATCTTAACATTCTAAACTATAACTATTGATTAATAAAACAATGAATTGTGTAATGGTGATTTCGTTTCTTCCAAAAAATTTTGCCCTTGCCTGGCAAAAAACTTTTTTGGTAGAAATGAAATCACCACAATTAAATAAACGGCAAGATGCAAGAGTTATTCGGTACTTACGACAACATTGCGGCAGCGCAGCGCACATATCGTGTTTATCACAGTCGTCATCCTCCAAACATGCCTGATCACAATACAGTTCCTCCTTGGTTTGGGTATATACGTTGCTTATGCCTTCCATCAACGAAAAAGTAGGAAATATTGACCAAATATAAAAGAATATCTCATTGTTTTCCAAGACATCCCAATAAATAAGATACGAAAATATGCCTGCAAAATTGCCATTATTTTTATAAGTGCATATGTATAGCGCCAATCCAGAAGAAGATGTACATACTTACATATCTGCGTTCGTATGGAATAGTAGCTTCCATATGTATGTATGTCGAAAGCCTGGCTTTAGTATAATGCGGCATTCGCAGTATACGATTGCGAATGACTCACTGGCGTCGAGCCGTTGAAGAACTTTTGGAAAATAAACGTGCAGAAGTAGTTCCGATACTAGCAAATCAATATTCTTATTAAGTCTTATCAAAAGATTCCTTGCTGTTTAAGGAATAAAGGGAAAAGCCGCATTATACTAAAGCCAGCATCCCGACATACTATTCAATACGAACACAGATATGTACATAGTAGATATCGCTCATTTATTAACACCCGGTTTCACCAGCAATTTAAATGGAAATGATTTTTGAAATTGCTTTCGTGAAACTGACTGTTAAAGACTGTCACAACGAAAAAAGCTAAAAATTTTTCATGAGACGCGTTAAAAGTTTTCAACAAAATGTAGAATAAAAGAGAAGCATACGATATTTTACGCGTACACGACACAATGAAGCCACAAACCAATCGTTCGTTCATGATCTGAAGCATTATATAACGAGTATTTGCTCAAAAATTTCGGTTTTTGAGTTGTGACAGTTTTTTTTTTAGTAAATGAGCGATATTTACATTTAACGAAATGTTAAGTTCTACCTGTAATAATTTGTATTATAACCGTTATTAGAAACGCAGACCACATTGTCCAATAGAAGAATAATGAGAGAACATATATTAACCCTAAACCGGGTATTCCGTAAATATTCATTAGTAGCATTGCATCTGTAAAAATAATATTTCAAGTTACATATGTACATACATACATACATATCGATGGTCCTGTGCAATAACGACACAATTCAAAATTCTAAAAAAACAAAAACGTTACTACTGTTAAGTGGCACTTGTCTCTAATCTTTGTCTAATCCATTTCCATCCCTTACTAAGGTAAGCAGTAAGGATCGCAAAAGTAAGTACAAAAGGTTAAACATGGATTAGAGGCATGAGCCACTTAAAAGTAGTAAGTTTTTAATTTTTTGTGTTTTTTATATTTTGGATTGTGTCGTTATTGCACAGGACCATCGATAGGTACATATTTATTTTAAAAGTAGAAATACTACAATAAATATCGCTTGTTAGCTAAAAGGGCGTGACAAACTAAAAAAATTCGTTATGTTTGGCTACGTTTTACTTTAGATAATGCACCTTTTTATTGCATTAATAACACCGACCGACAATGCTTTTAGCGCCGAGGAAAAAAGCAACTGTAGAAAGTAGGATTAGGAGTAGGAGTAGTATATACATATATTACACAGAATTTAAGTCAGGGGATTATTTCATAAGTATTGATTTAAACGAATCCTATTTCTCATAACCTTTGTTAGTTCAGTACGCGGACGTGTAGATTTACCATGGTAAACCACACTAGAAGTTTCATATTACGGTACACAAAATTTTCCGCAAATTTCAGTGCCTGCCACATTCAAGAGATTTCGCCTTTCGGCAACCCGATTTTCAATCGAGCCGCATTCTGGGATTAAAAAAAAAACTTACTTGTCGGTAGTTCCAAGTAGAGATGGGCACGGTCCGGAATATTTGCTGTCAGCACGAACTCGTGCGTGCATGGGCGTTCAGTAAAATTTCATAAAAGCCGAAAAGGCACGACGAAGTCCGTTTCTAATACTACAAATTTAGATAAGCTTTTGTTTTTATACAAAAAAATAGTACACATTAAAACTCTTTTGATAATAGAAAAGCAAAAAACAGAAATATTTGGAAACCGATAGAAAAAATAAGATACTTAGTAGTTTTGTACCTAAAAGACCTTCCACTTTTTCTACTTCCCAGAAAATATTTTATAAAAATATGATGCAAAAAATTGACACAATTGAACACAAAATTAAAAATATATACATATGTATACATACCATGATTCAATAATACAAGGTTGTGTAATTTGTGACGCCTAAAATTTGACACTCCTTTATCTAGATTTGTATCTTGGAAGTAGGAGAACCCACTAAAAAACGAACAAATGTTATTTTTTCATGAAATATGTGGACTTTTTTGTAAAAAATTCTGTGGACAGCTTAGGCGGACTTGGAGGGTTATTTTTTCTAAGCGCGGCCGAAGGCCTACAACGCGGAAAGGTATTTTGCGCAAACTTCCTGTGTTTAGCGTAACCCGAGCTTACATTTTCTCTGTCAAAATACGGTGTCTTTCTAATGGGTGGGGTTTTACGATATTGTCAAAATATATGTACTAGAAATGAATACTCACTTCCCTGAAAGTCATCAGGCCCATGGGTCCAAAAATAAATTCCACTTTCAAGTTACTTGATAGACATGCAGTTAAATGGACAAAGACAATATGTATTAAATAACACATCGAAATGTGTCATTTCAGTGCCTGAATTATGTATATCAGAAACAATCGCATCCGATAATCAGATGACATAAGGACACTAAAAAAAATTGTAAAATATGCTCTTTAAAATTTTATTAATCCAAAAACGAGGATTTTGGCAACTGGTTATCGAATTTAATGTAAAATTCAAACTTTTTCAAGATAAGATATTAACTACACTGGATCACAAATTTTAATTTTGTTTTTGTGCTCCAGACGCCACTATCCAATTTATATCTATAATCGCTCGCTCGAAATCCAAAAATCGAGTTATTTTTTATGGATACGTTTTCGAGATATTTTTTGTTTTTTTTATAAAAAAATGGAAAAATTCAAACTTTAACAGGGAAAAAATTAAAAAAAAACAGCTTGTTTGCACATGAAAAAATTAAGCTACTAATGAGTAAAATCGATATATAAATAAGAAAGCAAGGAAACTGTGCAAGAATTTTTTGTATGAAATATGAGCATAAAAGAGTGTTCCTCATACGCCATGTACACCTGAGTAGGTAGTGTTTACATTGAAATTATTGAATTAGTTTCTCAGAAACAATCAGGGCTAACAAATTAAAGAGAAAATTCTGTAGAATTAAGGCCGCTTAAATTTTTTGGTGCATATGGACGATTAGGTATTGAAAATGTCCTTTTCACATTTTATCATTTAATGTCCTTGAAAATTTACAGTAATTTTTTTGGAAAAAATTATATGTTAAAGACTAATATGCACTCGACCACAACCTCGAATTTCATCGTTCTAATTTAACTCGCTTAAAAAAATAACACTAGTTAAAGGGACATTTCCTATACCCATTCGTTCAATTTTATTTTTTAATTATATAGAATTTTCTCTTGCATTTGGTGTCAATACTCTTTTTCTACATTGGAATGAATTTTTTAAATAATTTTTGGAATTAATGATATCTTTGAAAGTTTCAAATTGAAACTACAAAGTCCTTTTAAAAAATCCTGACGTCAGAGAGAAAAACTAAAAACGCATAAAACATATATAACACCAGAGCCATAACCATAACCGTAGATATCTATTTAATTTTGTTTTTTCGCCATAACCAAAAGCAGCTCTGAAGTATTTTGCTACGTTATTTGGCCTTTAACTCTAAATTTCTTCAATTCAAATTGTAAAATATCTGCTTTCCGTGTACGCATGGTATTCTGGGCTTTGATATAACATAGAACATCCAAGGTTTAATCAATTCAGCCCAATAACTCAGAACTGATAAATTTGCACATTCATGCTTCTGACATGAGGGTGACGATATGTATTTTTAGAAATTCTAAAAATGTCTTGGGATCTCCAATTTGACGGTTGTATTTTGATTTAATTTTTTTTAGAAGAATTGTTATGAAATCCCTTTAAGCAAACTAGCGACATGTATACATAACACGTACATAAGTACATAAAAACGTACACATTTTGTCTGAGAATGAATATCCTTCAATGGGCGCTAACGCTAATATAATTGTATAAACGATAGTATGCGAAAAGAACGTTGCGTAATCCCACAAAAAGTTAACACACCAATAGCGCGCCATACTGACACCGGCAATTTTTTGTAGCATCAACAAGTGATATTTGCGTTCCTCCACCAGCGGTACGATAAAGCATGAAATCGAGATGGGTATAGCAACACCCAATACCATCGGTAATAGCAAATGAGTCTTCTCTTGATCAAGCAAATGAATTTTAGCACGTAATGGAGTAGGTTTAGGATGATTCTGTATGATAGTTATGGATTTTTCATCGGTTATTGTCTTGCTAAACAAAAATATAAATATTTAAATTTAATTAAATAATATGATTTGTAAATGAAAATTCTACGAAATCAATTTAATGCAAGATATTGCAATCCAAAACAATTTGATTGCAGAAAATATTGCGTTTCTTTGATATGTATGTATTTATAACAATGTATGCACTTTTTAAAGTTTTCACAGTTTGGGTATCAAATAAAACTCCATTGGAAAGCTTTAATTTAAAAACAAAATTGTTATGTTATATTGGGCCGCATATAACCAACTTACGCAAGATAAATGTTATGCATTAAATTGAGAACTAATGGAGCTGAATGAAATATCCGTTGATTAAACCAACATATATATTTATCGCCATCGAAGTCTATTGCACCAAACTTGTCTGATATACTTTTCGATTCTTTTAAGTATTTCTCATAGTTTGCTTTCGAACAGTGAAGGGAATTTTCATCGAATTTCATCGAATTCTCGCCAAACTTTTTACTTTTCACAACGCTTCTTATTTGAATATGTTTGCAGTCTTTCATGTTTTCTAAATTTAGCTCTTTCGTAACACCCAAATCGATGGGATTATAACGCGTTGGTGGTATATGTAAACAATGTTGAGCCATTATTGCTATTAAAAGAATAAAAAGGAATGACACACCAATCGTGATAAGCGGAATGAAATTAGGTGCTTGATGTATGAGCTTTTTGTTCAACAAAGCATATATTTGTTGACGACCGCGGTTTTTGCGAGAAACAAATTTATGAATAAGTTGTCCTTAAAGTAAAGAAAATATAAATTACATTATGAATTGTCATTTCATTCTACCCCTCATTTTGTGTAATACGAACTGTCATTTAAAATGATTTGTTTGGTGTCTTTTGTGCCCAAGGTCATGTAAACTTCAGCCAGTTCACTGCCAAGGACTCGCAAATCAACTATTCCCAAATTAAGTTGTTCCTTTTCCAAGTGTATCAACATATTTTGAAATTTAGGCCGCATATTAATTGGCAGCTTATAGTAGACCAGTTCTCCAATTTCATTTTCAGGCATAATTCCAGGTATAAATTGTCCTATCAATTCGGTAATTGCTTCGGTAGATGTATTTGGCGACTTAACTATAATCTACGCGAGATGAAAACAGTACGTTAATTTTATAGATTTTCGTAGTTTATAAGTTTTATAGTATGCATATTAGACCGTATCACGATGTAAAGGCCGAAATTTGTTGGCAAGTAATTTTGAACACTCACCATGAGAGTTTATTAGGAGTGTGAATTTTTTTTCGGTACCCTGAAAAAAAAACCTCAAACACGATTTTTCCTGTAGCCTTTTTATTTGAAGGTATTAAAAAGCCTACAGTTTACCATACATATATGTATACAGAGCTATTATCATGCCCTATAAACTTGGAAAGTTATTTTGTCCGAAAACGGCTGTATGCAATAATATATGTCAGAAAAATAGTTTCCGTACTATATTATAACCCTTTGGCAAGAAAATTACTAATTTATTATACAACAGCTAACTATTAGTAACTATACATATGATGTACATATCATCGTCGTTTAAAGTACAAAACCGCGTAACTGACAAGTTTGCCAAAAATTGGATTCACACAAGCTCTTAGCTCAAGCCTTATCCATTCGTCCTGAAATATACTGGCCAGAAATGCGATTGCTTTATGAAAAAAGAGAACCATTTTGAAATATAAGTATTTTTTATCTCTAGAAAATAATTTATGCAACCTCACATACGCGGTTTTGCATTTTGTTTATACGCGGTTTTTCACTTTAAACCACGATATATTAAAACGTTAATATTTAATTAAAGTAAATCTTTTCGTGATTCAAGTTGGCTGTACCGTTCCCGGCTATTAAGATTGGCAAATACACTTAGTAGTATGCGGTACTAGGTTCAAGCATAAAAAGATTCATCAAGCTGTCTCCGTATAGAAAAACGAGACGCCAAATTGACCATGTTGTGATAGCCGAAAGGCATGCTTCCATCCCGAGGCCCAAACATCGACTCGGACATGCATTCGCTGCTTGACTCTCAAAGAGCACTCTTAAGTAAACCGACATAAGCGAGTAGTGGAACCACGCCGCCAAAGAAGTAGTCGCATTTCAGCGAGCTCGAAAGAACAGCTGGTACGATGAGGAGTGTCAGGAAGCTGCAGAGAAAAAAGATGCCGCCTACAGTGCCACGCTGCGGTCGGGCGCAAAGCGCGCTATGTGGGACCGCTATAGGTATCTGAAGGGGGAAGCGAGACGTATTTGCCGCAATAAGAAGAGAGAGACCGAAATACGTGAGTGCGCAGAGCTTGAAATGCTGGCCGACAGGAAGAATGCCCGAAAATTTTACCAGAGAATTAGGCGACTTACGGACGGTTTCAAGACAAGGGCGTACTCCTGTAAGAACAACAATGGCGACCTAGTTACCGATGTTCAGAACGTACTTAAATTATGGAGGTAATACTTTTGCACGCTACTGAATGGTAGCAGCACGGAAAGTTGTGGAGAAGAAGAACCCGAGCACCCAGTCGATGATGACGGAGTCGATGTTCCTCCGCCTGACTATGACGAGGTACGAATAGCAATAACGCGGCTGAAAAACAACAAAGCTGCTGGAGCTGACAGCCAGTCAGCTGAGCTATTCAAGTACGGTGGCGAGGAGTTGATAAGGTGCATGCATCAACTCTTATGCAGAATATGGTCAAATGAACGCATGCCCGACGACGGGATTTTAAGTGTGTTCTGCCCAATCCACAAGAAAGGCGACCCCGCCATTCGCGCCAACCACCACGGGATCAGCCTTCTAAGCATAGGTTACAGGGTCTTATCGAGCGTATTGTGTGAAAGACTGAAGCCCACCGTTAATTAACTGGAAAATCCACCATAGACCAAGTATTCACAATACGCGAAATCTTGGAAAAGACCCGCGAGGAAAGAATCGACACTCACCACACGACTTTAAAGCCGCTTTCGATAGTACTAAAAGGAGTTGCCTATATGCCGCTATATCTGAATTTGGCATCCCCTCCAAACTGATACGGCTGTGTAAAATGACGTTGAGCAATACCACCAGCTCTGTCAGAATTGGGAAAGACCTCTCCGAGCCGTTCGCCACCAAACGGGGCTTCAGACAGGGCGACTCTCTTTCATGTGACTTCTTCTGATGTTGGAGAAGATAATAAGAGCTGCAGAACCGAACCGCTCAGCAACAATTTACTACAAGAGCGTGCAATTGCTGGGTTATGCCGATATCATCGGTATCAAAAACCGCGAAGTCTGTTCTGCCTTTTCCAAGCTGGATAAGGAAGCAAAGCGAATAGGTCTGGTGGTAAACGAGGACAAGACGAAGTATCTTCTGTCATCAAACAAACAGTCTGCACATTCGCGCCTTGGCACCCACGTCAGTGTTGACAGTTATAATTTCGAGAAAGTAGAGAATTTCGTTTACTTGGGAACCAGCATTAACACCAACAATAATGTCAGCATGGAAATCCAACGCAGAATGAAGGCTCCGTTATGCATACTTGGCATGGCTTGAGAGCTGTCACATAAGAAATCTGTTAAATGAGCCTCGCGTGTAATCGGTTATCGAACGCACAGCACTACATACGTAGAAGTCTGTTGGTTTTTGATTTCTACGTAAAAATGGTATAGCAGTGCATGCAATGCCAAGTATGCATAACAGAGCCTTTACTCTTGCCAACAAGTGCTACTTTGGACTGAGTAGGCAATTCAGGAGTAAAGTCCTCTCTCGACGTACGAAAAGCACACTCTATAAGTCACTCATCATGCCCGTGCTGGTATATGGCGCAGAAGCATGGACAATGACAACATCCGATGAGACGGCTCTTGGAGTATTCGAGAAAAAGATGTTGCGTAAGATTTACGGGCCTTTACGCGTTAGCGACGGCGAGTACCGCAGACGATGGAACAATGAGCTGTATGAGCTTTACAACGACATGGATATAGTGCAGCGTATTAAAATACAGCGGCTCCGCTGGCTTGGTCATGTCGTTCCAATGGACACCGACGCTCCAGCTCTGAAAGTATTCAACGCGAAACCCGCGGCGCCAAATAAGAAGAAGAAGCTAATAGCAGTTTACCAAAACTACCGAAATGGGTGTGAATACCCCTATTTTTCAAGTATTCTGTTTTATGCTTTGATGTGTAAACGAAATTTCGAACAGCTGTACCTAAAACTTGCAAGTTTTTTTTATAATTTTGCGTTCGCGAACTTTTTTTATGTTTTTCAATTTGAGAGAAAATCGCTCGTTACTCTCCGGCAAGCTGCTGCTGGATATTTTTCACTGAAGATCTATTAGAACAGACTAAATATCTAAAAAACATGTTTGTATTTATGTATGTGTGTAAAAGTAATTTTTGTTTAAATCTTACCAAATCGCAGCCTACACCAAATTTGCTTTTGAGAAAAAATGGCGTACCATACGACTGTAAAGTGCCTTCGCCGAGCAAGGCTATTCGATCGCCAACAGCATCGGCTTCGGTTACATCGAAAGTAGTCATTACAATAGCGCGACCAGTCTTTTCTTTATGTAAAATGTGCCAGAACAAGCGTTGCTCTTTGCCTTTCATATGTAGTGTAGGTTCATCAAGTAGGATGATTTTCGTTCCACCAGCTAGTACACAGCCCAAACTAAGCAAACGTTTTTGACTGTATGTTAGTTTCTTCACCAAGGTATTTCGTTGTATTTTAGCTGTTTTGACGGACTCGAAAAATTCGTCCAATTCCATATTGATTATTTGATCATCCATTTCCATAGATTTTATACGCATATAGTAAATTAATGTCTCCTCGACAGTAAGTAAATCGAATAATGCATTATTTGGCATGCAGACGTCAATCTGATGGCGATACTTATCCCAATGTTCATACAAATCTTCATTGAGTATTTGAACATGGCCCAGCGGTGGTCGGTTCCATCCTGCCAGTATTTCGATAATCGTTGTTTTACCAGAGCAATGTGGTCCCAGTATGACTGTGATCTCATTGGCATAAATAAGCATAGTGATATTTTTAAGCTGCCTTCTTCTCGAACTAAATTGTGTATGGACATTTTTTAGGCGAATCACTTCGACAGAGCTTATGTTTCCAAATTCAAAGTTTTCCCAAACTCTTGCTTTATCAAATACGAAAAATTCTAGTTTTTTGCCTCTTAACTTCCGGGCTGGTTTATTCATTGTGGTAAGACAGTGGCCAGACCAACATAAACTAAAGGGTAGAGTCTTTATATATAGACCTGGATTAAAATACTCAGCTAACGATATTAGTATCCAATACAAAAGGCAGCATCCAACAGTAGTGATAATAGGATATAAAGTATCATCTCCTTCGTGAAATTCTCGCATTGCATATGCAAAGCCATTATTGAAAAATGCCATGAAACAAATGGCCAATGTCGCAGTCATACTTTTGTAATGTTCCACTAAAAGCGAGAATAGGGAAAACATAATTAGCCAGATTGCGGCACCAAATAATACAGCATGCCGAGCCTTATTCGAAACTGATACCAAAAATACGACAGAAATCAACAGCGAGATGTTGTATATTATTAGGAAGATAATTAGCCGGAGTGGAGAACCAATGAATTTTCCCTCGAGGGGAATCTATTAATTGAAAAATAAATATTTATCATATTAGTATTCATAGGGAGCTACAATACGTATGTATGTATGTATGTATGTAAGTAAATGCGTTATACTATAGTTATGTATGTATTAGGGATATTGCGAATGCGGATGCTTGGTATTTTTGAGCAATTCTATATAGGAATTGGATAGTGGCATCCATAGAACATTTTTGCTGTAAACCAGTTAATTAATCGGATATTTTTCTTAAGCTGTCGGAAAATGTGTAATAATTTTGAAGAATTCGTGGCACTACTTTCGACATTTTCGAAAGGAATTCATTACAAGCAATTTTATAAAAAAATATGCATTTATTCCTTGCGCATTTCGTTGCGAACATTCAAAAAAATTTAGGTGACCGTTAAAATCGAAAATATTTATATATGTAGATTAGACTGCATCACCAAAAAAAATGCGGTTTTTCCGCCGGTATTACAAAATGTATTATATTTTAAGACGTCCACCAAAATATTTCGGAAAAATATTAAGATTTAAGTGAGCTGGACCGATTTGAAAATACCTCCAAAAATGTAGTTTTTTATGAATAAAAATAGTTTCTTAAAGAACTTTGTGAAAAAGGTCCCCTCAGATGGCAAAACAGATTAAGCTTAAAAAATCTGCATAAAAATATTTAAAAATCTTTTAAACGGAATCGTGAGAATGAGATTTTTGATGATGTTTTTTTACTTTTTTCAAAGATTGATTTAGGAAAAACTTGAATAACTGGGCCAAAACTATTCTGATTCAGACTTATGGGATCTCAGTTGAAAGGTATTTCCACACTGTTTTTATTTCTGTCCAAAAAAAAAGTCATTCGTGTCCCAATATTTTTTTTTTCAAATACCAACACATATTAATTCAACTTTGAATGACGTTCCTTCATCCTACCTTTCTCTTTCATCCTTTGAATGAGTTTATTAGCAAATAAATAAAAAGGTAGAGAAAATACCTTTCTAATGACACCTCCTAAGTCTAAATCGGAAGAGTTTAGGTTCAGTTATTCAAGTTTTTGTTATACCAATCTTTAAAAAAAGTTAAAAAGCAGCATCAAAAATCTCATCATTACGATTCCGTTCAACGTTTTTTTTTAATTTTTTTAAAATGTTTTTCTGCAAATTTTTTAAGCTTAAGCCGTTTTGTCATTTGAGGGGATTTTTTCAAAAAAAATCTTTAAGAAACTATTTTTATTCATAAAAAACTCCATTTTTGGAGGTATTTTCAAATCGGTTCAGCTCACTTAAATCTTAATATTTTTCCGAAATATTTTGGTGGACGTCTTAAAATATAATAGATTTTATAATTCCAATGGAAAAATAGTAGCGATTTTTTTTTTGTATGGGGAGTGATGCAGTCTAATGTAGATAGATAAGAAAACAAAATGTTATAGTTCATGTATAGTGTCAGAACTTTAGGATAATTTTTTTTCCTAAGTGTGACAAAGGAAAGCACTTACTAAGACCAAAATCACTATGATTACATCCAAGAGCAACAAATGAATGAAAGACACAATCGCATTGCCCATCCAATATTTGGCATAGTCAAAGCCATATCTCCAGTGATGAGCTAATATATTCTCTTCTCGCTCGCGTCCATATGTCTTGAATATATATAATTTAGTCATTAAAATAAATACATACATACATATAAATATATTTCCTTACCCAAAGCAGATTTAAAAAAGGCAAAAAGAAAGTAAAGCTGTATAGAAGCATTAACAAATTTGATTCGGCTGTTGTGGAACACATTTTCGATTTGGTATTTTGTTGAAACGCTCGCATTGAAACCCGTAAAGTACTTATATCTTTTGTGTGCTGCTTTTCTAACCATTGAAGGAAAATGTGGTGTTGTAATTGAAGGAAACCTTCCCGCATATACAAATCATGCTCTGTAATATTTCCCTTTTCGCTTGCGGTCTTATCAAGTACACCGCTACAGCGTGTTGCCCACAATTTCTGACCTTCATGGTTTGGTTCTAATGTACGAAACTCACTCGGGAAATGTAGGCTAACATTAAGGCAATCTTTCGTTGTAAAAGTAAATGCAACAGCTGCCAACGATATATTGCCATCTAATCTGTTCATCATAGTATTTTCATTCTTGAATGGCTTTCCTTCCGATAATGATAGGCTTTGTATAACACCCTTGATGATATCGTCAGACACCGTATCTTCTGGGGTATACATAAGATTTGATGGAACTGATTTTCCAGATGCAGCCAATAAATGCCTTTATGAATGTATAAAGCATTTTTAATTATAAAGTAACGAATTTCGCAAATGCTTTTTTATCACAAACTTGTGAAAATAGTCCGGTCAAATTAGTCATAAAACAAGTGGTCAAATAACAAAAATTCCGACAGAGCTAAATTTTGGTGGAGAAATAAAGTGTCAAAAGTCCCCATCGATCCCATGTGTGCCAAAAAAAGTTATTCGGGGTCAAAGGTCACATAAATAGCCTTTTCGCATTTTATAGCCAAATGGTATGGTTTATCATAAAAATATGTGAGACGAAAGTGTAGATCATATAATTATTTATAAAACTGTTGTGACATTTTGCTTCCTAAGAATTAATAATAATAATAATAGATTGGCGCTTACACATATGTTAGTGTTTGGCCGAGCTTCTCCTCCAACTTGTGGCGTGCGCCTTGATATTGTCACACAAAGCGGAGGGACCTACAGTTTTACGCCGACTCCGAACGGCGATTGTATTTTTATGAGAAGCTGTTTTTCATGGCAGAAATACACTCGGAGGTTTGCCATTGCCTGCCGAGGGACGACCGCTGTTGAGAAAAACCTTTTTCTACATTTTTTGCAATGTTGCTTTGACCAGGGCTTGAACCCAGGTGCTGGTGAGTGAAAGCGCTTACTGCTTACCACTACACCACAGCGGCAATTACCAGCAAGAATTACCATTTCTGAAATATAGCGATTAAAAAATTTATGTTCTCCGTAATATACACAATTTCCCTGTACTTGTGGGGTAGTGTATTTGGCGTGATTTTTTTTAACATGTTTTGCCCGGTAGGCCTACCCCACGACTTACTAGGTTCATTCCTTATCTTTTTGGACTAAAATCTAAAAAGTGTCAAAATGCCAGAGCGTAAGCAAAATGCACTCGCTAAAAGAGAATAACAGGAAAAAGTAAAGGAACGCAAAAAAACAAATTTTTAGTCCAAAAAATGGCAACAACAAAACTAACGTCAAATAAGAATAGAAATGTATGTACAAAACACATTCACAGAAGCACAAGAGAGAAAGTGAGCGCATTTTGCTTACGCTCTGGCATTTTGACACTTTTCAGATTTTAGTCCAAAAAGATAAGGAATGAACCTACTATATCAATTATGTTTTGCCTCCTTCCAATTTCAATTAACTTTTTTTACTTTTTAGATTATTCTCACTTTTTTGTATTCTTTAATTTCTGTTAATTTTAATTCAGTTGAGTTTAACACTTTTCAAGATTTTGCCAGCAAAAATTCTTCTGACTAAATCTGACTACTTCGGACTGAAGAGAGTCACTCTCACTGAGTGTTGCTCTCTCCTTTTTGCTGTCATTTTCGAGTTAAGGAACGCTTTTTGGACAAAATCTGACTACTTCGGACTTTTTCTGACTATTTCTGGGAGATAAGGAACGCAACTATTGTAGTCCTGTCTAACTAAATAATATTGCATTAAATAAAAATAGTACCATGGTAAGTGATGAAAGCGAAGTGAATTAAAAGTAATTAAAGAAAATAATTGATAATTACACTAATTATTAATTGATAATTATACTAGTTTACAAGAAATCCCACCTGTTGCACTACACCATCACTCCTTATGTTAAATTTTCCGCTGAATCTGAATATGTAGTCAAAATATCATAAACTATAATAGTTTTTGGGATATAGCCAAATTTCGGTTTTTAGAAATGTGAAAAAGTGCACTCACTTAATTGCATATTTTTTATATAGCTCGCGAATCTTAAATATCTTTTCACAGTATTGAAGCTATCTTCTACGTAAACGATATTTTTCAACCAGATTAGTAATTTAGGAGATAATCATTGATTCATGGCCAATTATGCATAATTATAAAAAAAAAAGAATTAAAAAAAAAAGTTACTTTCGGTAAACATATCAACATGAAAGAACCTGTTAACCATGATAAAAGCATTACAAGGTAAATTCATTCTCTCAATTCGTCGGCGGCCATGATTTCTTTTCTGACGTTTGTAAGCATTTTAAAATCATATAAAATTGAAAATAAAAAAATAAATTGTTCACAATTGTTGTTGTTTGAGATTGATAATGAGAATGTGTGTGTGAGTTTGAGTTTTGAATTTTTAAATTATATTGATGGCAAACGTTAGACTGCCTCTTTATGGTTTTACCATGTTATGTTTTTATTAGCTTATGATTGGCATCTTATGGAGTACACACCTTTTACTACAACTTTGAATCGCTATATCCCAGAAATGGTAATCCTTAGGAAGAAAAATATTATAACAGTTTTTATTAATTATATCATCTACACTTTCGTCTCACATATTTTTATGAGAAACCGTACCGTTTGGTTGAAAAATGCGAAAAAGCTATTTATGTGACCTTTGACCCCGAATCACTTTTTCAAAACACATGGGATCGATGGGGACTTTTGACACTTTATTTCCTATAGTGTACCAAAGGTCTCCACGAAAATTTAGCTCTGTCGGTGTTTTGGTTATTTGAAATGTCTATTTTGATCGGTCTAAAATGTGAAAATTATCTTGAAAAGGGTGTGCTTTTTAACCGACTTCAAAAAAAGATTATCAATTCGTTGGAACATTTATGTAATTTTTTTAATGTACATATGTTTTGTTTTTTAAAAAATTACCTGCTTTGGTTTGAAAAAGTATGTTAACTAATTTAGTTGCAACTTCAAAATTCAACGAAACTTAAAACATATGTATGTATGTATGTATGTACATATGTATATGAAATAATTAACCTACTCACTTAAAATTTTCAATATTATCCAAATTTAGTTCATCTTGAATAACAAGTTTTCTCAGTTCATCATCGGTCAGATCTTGAGGTACGGTAGGAGTTGGAGGAAATAACACGACAATTAAGAAACATATAATCACAATGAATATTTCTGCTATGGTTTTCTTTATGGACCGCAATTCAAATTTAAGATTTTTACGAATAATAGTTTCGATTGAGGCAGGCATTGCAGTCGTCTATTCCGAGCTGAAAATTGTGGCATATCCGTAATCTTTATTTAGAAAAGTCGAGCTTAATTTCTTTCGTTTTGGTCGTTAATTACTTAATGAAGTTCTAATTTAAAATTTAAATTTAAAGCATTAAATGATTGCCACACAACAAAATGACTGTTAAACAAATTGGAATCCTAAGATTTATTAAGTTCTTTAACTATTTCGTTAAGACAAAAAATATTATGAAGATAGGGTCTCTGTATTACCGTTGTGCTATTGAAGTCGAAATTGAAAGATTGCTCGTTTCTAAGCGAATGAAATAAACTTATAGGTTTTTCTCTCCTAGAACAAATCGCCATCATCTCAAAATAAAATTTCGATTCGGTCACTGATGCTGTGATTCTCAGATCCAGACTGTGTTTGACCCGGTAAGAAAGTGAATTATTGTGACATGCAATAAATACATATGTACATATCGGAAGATGGAATACTATCGTGTAGCAAAAGTGTAGCAAAAAAGTGTATGGGGTTTAAAGAACTAGGTAGTGACACTTTTTCCGCCTTAACCCTTTATTCAGAGATGTAGGGCTTTTTATATTAACTTAACGATCACTAATGGATAATGGTTCATCATTGTGCTGCTACTTTATTCATGTAACGAAACTGTTTTATAAAAATTGTTAACACAGTCAATGTAAACAATTCAAATTTTGGACCGAAAGTGGGTTAAACTGACCGGAAGTCCATTTTTTTAATTACACATGTACGTCTTTATTAAAGATTCTGATTTTGCGGACAAAAGTACGCAACTTTTATTTGAAACTTTTTTCTTGGAAGTATCTTTTTCAACCTCTAAATGATCTTAGAACTTTAACTCGTCCTGGACTCCTGTTGAAGTGTTGAAAAAGGCTTTTCTGAGAAAAAAGATGCAAACAAAAGTTGCGTAGTTTTGTCCACAGAATCTGGCCAGTTTAAACCGGAAAAAGTTTCCGACAAAACGTATGTATATTAATGCGAAGAATCCGAATCTGTCGGTAATACCACCAAAAGATAGAGGATCCCCGATTTAAGAGGGGTAGGTGGTAAAATTTTTGCAGTTGTCAATAAAAAACATTCCCCACAATTTTAGAGGGAGGGACGGGTGGTCTAGGACACCCTGTATAATTTCAAGCATATTTTTCAAATTTTTTAATTAATACTTCCAAAGTAGTTCCTTAATCAACCCGAGAGGACATGTCAAACACTAAAACACTTTGTTTTGTTTATTTAATATTTTTTAAAGGAGGAAAAGAATTTGTTATAGAAGATCAATTTAGGTCGGTGTTATGCAGAAATTTTGTTTGGCAACTGCGTGCAATTGTTGTTGCAGCAAACTCGGAGAGAGCGAGTTTGGCGACTCTCACAGCAAACTAATTTTGTTTGGTCAAACTGCAGCAAATTCAGTGTTGTCATATACAAAAATTTTAGACAATTGTTGCTATACACAAAAATTGCCGTGATTCCGAAAGGCAGATAACTGAATTTATGCTGTAGGAGCTTCAAAGATTAGGGCACAGTCATAAAAAATATATTAATTCTCATTTCGTGTTGGCAATAGCCATGAAAACCATAATGAACGTGCAACCCTGTGCCAAACTCGACATAACCACCTCCGAGCAAACTAAGCAGCCGCCATTTAATTTGGCAAACAAAAGTTTGTCTGCATAATACCGACCTTAATAATTTAATGTTCATCATACGCCCTGTCATACCAATTAAAAACTGTTCTACAACTGCAAATCGCCAGGAGATACAAAAATTATTCGACTAGAAAACATATCATTTTGCACCCTTACAAAGCCACTGTCCTTGGGATAAAGAAAAGGATAAAGGCAAGGTAAAAATAAAAACAAAAACAAAGATGCGTAAAGGTAAATGCAAAAATTAAGATCGGTGTAAATTTAAACACTTTTTTATATAAGATGATGAAAGGGAATGTGAAGATGAAGAAAATGATAAACATAAAAGTAAAAACAAATATAAATATAAAAAAAAAAGATGAGGATGAGGATACCGATAAAAGTAAAGACGAAGATAGAGGAAGAAAGATTAAAATAAGGGAACATAATTATAGAGAAAGGGATATATCGATATAATAATCGAGATTTTTTATCCGTTTTGTTAACGATATTTTTATCTATTTTGTTATCGATATTTTTTATCGATATTTTTATAGATATAATTTACCGAAATCGATATTTTTATCGTACTTGTTATCGATATTGCTGTCGTTATTTTTATCGACATTTTTATAGATTTTCTTAATGATATTTTATCGATTTTATTATCGATTTTTTTCGGTTTTCGATTTTGTTATCGATTCCTCTATTGATATTTTTAACGAACTTGTTATCGATATTTTGATGGATGTTACTAGTTCACATTATAATAAAAGCGAGTTTTTAGTTTTTTAAACTATAATTTTATTTTCTTCTTTCTAGTCTCGATAAGGGGCAACAAAGATTCTTTTTTTCTCGTTTATATAAAGCAGTGGATAAAAGTATACGTATATGCGAAAGGCAAATTTATCGGTTTAAATAAACACCACTAATATTTCATCAACAAATATAAATATGCAACAATTTTTATTGTAATATTTTTTCTACAACTTTTTATAAAAATATGGTTTATTCCACAACAAAAGACATAAAAATATAATTTCTAAACTTTGTGCAAAACTCTCGAAAGTTCAGCAAATTTTCATGTAAATTTTCAACCTTTTAATCAGAATTTTTAGAATTTTTGTGAGTATGCAGATTTGTAGCCCAATTAATTCTTCTCTAAGTAGCTACGCATTACCGTTGATTTTTGGCAATTTTTTTCACGCAGTCTCTTCCATACAAAAAAAAATTCCAAAATACTTTGTGGAAAAAATGCAAAACACCTTCAACAAAAAAAATTCTCAAAAATCAATGCAATTTTTGACTAACTCTTTGGCTCTTCATTTTATCTACTATTAGGTCCGGACCGGATCCGGTTATTAGGGAACAAGCGAAAAGTTTGCTCACAAAAATGGAACGTAGTCCAGAAGTATTTCGTGCCCAGAATTTGAGAAACAGCTGGTTCACGTTGTGTTTGTTTTTGTCACTTAAATGCAAATATGTATTTGGTAATTGAATTATGGTTTCACAAATTTGATTTTAAGTATATAAATATTGAAAATACTTTGACAGGCCATTCACTATTCCTTAAAAGCACCAAGTAAATGCAGGCGACATTTAAACACAAAATAGCTGATATGCACTTTGACACTTTATCCATTTTTACCCGGAGATATAGTCCAGGCTGTTTCGGGCAGGAAGAAGAAGACAGTTACGATTCAAACAAGAATGATAGAATACATAGAATATTTCTCTCAATCGTGCGATTCAATACGTTCCAATTTTCGCTCTCTATTACACATTTTGTCGAGTACGAATTGATTTCTGGGCTGTTTTGGGAACCCGGGGGATACCGCGTTGCGTACGAGAAAGAACCTATTATTAGATTATTTAGCTCTTTCTTCGACCGATTTAGCTTCAAAGGAAATTTGTTTAGCAACGCTGAACACCACCTTGGATAAATTCGCCCTGGGTCAGAACATTCGAATTTCGAATTCGAACAATCCCGAAACAGCTGTTTGATTTGTCACACTGCGCCTTGTTTTTGAGCAGGCTGAAATTGTTTCTACTTAGCAAAAAATTGGACAAAGATTTACGCAACAAATATAAACAAGAGTGTGGAGTTTTTATATTCAATAAGCACCGTTTTAAGCAAATGGCCACAGCAAACAAATTGGGCAAAAGCCTGCAAAAAATTTTCGTGGGAAATATACCGTGGACGGTAACTAAGAATGAATAACAATCGGTCTGAATTTTTATAGCTAAAAATCTTATACATGAATCTAGGTGGGCCATCAGGAGTTGCGTGCTTATTTCAAGGAATTTGGACGCGTCGTCTCCGCTAACGTAATATTCGATAAAAATACCGGCTGTTCACGTGGGTACGGTTTCGTTTTATTCGATGACATTACGCCAATAGAGAAGATTGAAAGTGAACAAAAACACGTGCTCGAGGGCAATTATCTAAACATTCGGAAGTCATAGACATTTATCTCGACTCTTGATATAAATTTTAAGACATTAAACATACAAAAATTCATAAGTAAATAATCTTAACCCGACGAAAGAAGACTAAAATATTATTTGACTATGTCAACATCAGATTTTTCGGACAGTGACATGGATATTGATCCCATTGATGAAGTGTTTTCCGAAGCAGCTGAACATTTGCAAAAGATTCATCACTCTATCGACTCTACCGATCTTTTAGAAATTTATGGTTTATATAAGCAGGCAACTTGTGGGCGCTGCAATACTCAGAAACCTAGTGTATTTAATATGCAAAGTCGCAGCAAATGGTGTGCATGGAATGATTTGGGAGAAATGCCTAGCGAAGAAGCAAAGCGTTTATATATTGAAAAGGTTCAAAAATTAGACGCGACTTGGCAGCCAAAGCAAAAACTTGGCGATAAACAGAAATCTTCACCTGGCTGGGTAGTACATTCTATTCCTCAGCGGCTGGAGGAAGCAGATCAAAAAGAACATGAAAAAAATGCTTTCGATTATATTAAAGAAGGCAATCTTATACAACTTCAAAAAGCACTCTCTTCTGAAATTATGGAAATACTTGACGAAAACGGAATGGGACTGATACATTGGGCAGCTGACCGTAATGCAGTAGATATATTAAAACATCTTATTGAAAACGGACTAGATGTTAATTTTCGTGATTCAGAGCAGCAGACGGCCTTACATTATGCAGCTAGTTGTGGTCATATCGAATGTATTCGAATTTTACTCGATGCTAATGCTGATCCTTCTATCAAAGATGCTGACGGACAATCGTGCCTTGATGTGGCCGATAATTCAGATATCTGTGAATTGCTAAAATCTTGATTAAAATTCAAGTTTTTGCTTACCTACAATTTTCACAAATAAAGCTAAAACTAGTTTTCTTTTGTACAAAACTTAAATGTCGGGATTAATTATATCAAATAAAATTTCTTAAATTATAGAAGTTTCAATTGAAAAATGTCTTAAAACTGAACGCAATATCAGAGGTGTTTTTGTTGAAATTACAAAATATCGTAGAATTTGCAAATGAAGTACTTTTTGAACCATACACAACGGTTTTCGAGTACATCCCAGCAATCTTTTGGAGCCATAAATAAGTATTTAAAGAGTCCTATCTCGGAGCCTTTACGCTCATAATGAGCTCATTTAAGAGTCCAAAACGAAGATTGACTTTGTTCTTTGACTCTTATTGAGCTTACTTTAGAGCTATGTTTGCAAGAGCATTCATTTCAAATTCTGTACCCACATACATACCTCTGCGCATATATACATATCGTCGTTTAAATTGCAAACCCGCGTATCAACAAAATGCAAAACCGCGTATCAGCAAAATGCAAAACCACGTATGTGAAGCCGTAGAAATTATTTTCTAGAATGTAAAAACACTCATATTTCAAAATCGCTTTTCTTGGCTAATATATTTCAGGACGAATGGATAAGAATTGGGCCAAGAGCTTGTGTAAGCAAATCCAATTTTTGGCAGCCAATGTCAGTTACGCGGTTTTGCAGAATGACGATACGCGGTTTTGTACTTTAAAAGAAAAATACGTAGATTTATTTTATTATTTTAATTTTATTTTCAATTGATTTTTCATACATATAAGAAAGCTGAATATACATATTTTACTTCCACAATTTTTTAATCGACATATTCTTCTCAGAGTCTTTTTGCATTACCTTAGCAACGGCCATTTCAAAATCTTCTTGGGTTACATGAACGCGTCGTTCACGCAAAGCATACATGCCCGCTTCTGTACAGACACCCTTCACCTCGGCTCCCGATGCTCCAGGCATTAATTCAGCTATTTTTCGCAAATTGATGCCCCTAGTCAAGTTCATTTTTCGAGAATGAATTTTTAAAATATCCAAGCGAGCTTCTTCGTTTGGTGGTGGAAATTCAATTTTACGGTCGATGCGTCCAGGCCTAAGAAGTGCAGGATCCAGAATATCAATACGATTTGTAGCCATAATGACTTTAATATTTTTCGTTGCTTCAAAACCGTCCAATTGATTTAGTAACTCTAACATAGTACGTTGAACTTCAGAGTCACCTCCTGAACCTGATTCGATACGCGACGAACCAATAGAGTCAATTTCGTCCATAAAAATAATAGATGGAGCATGCTCCCGCGCCATGACGAATAGTTCACGCACCATACGAGAGCCCTCACCGATGAATTTTTGAACCAATTCCGAGCCAGACACTCGAATAAATGTACATTCTGTATGATGGGCCACCGCCCGAGCTAGTAGAGTCTTTCCCGTGCCAGGGGGTCCATATAAAAGCACACCTTTGGGTTGAGCTATACCTAATGCATCAAACAACTCGGGATGCTTGACTGGTAATTCGATAACTTCTTTTATTTCCTTAATTTGTTTGTCTAAACCGCCAACCATTTCATAAGTGGAGTCAGGGACTTTCTCAACCATCATAAGCGATACCAGTGGATCAACTTTGTTGGGCAAAATTTTATGCAACGTATAGCTCTCATTTCGTAGAGCTACACGACAATTGGGGGTTACGTCGTTGATATCTATATTCTTGTCAATATCCACAACAAATTTACCCTCTGGATGTACCTTTACCAATACTTTCTTTTTGTCCATTGGTTTAACGACTTCGCCTACATAACTGCCCTGCTCTTGCAACAACTGAAGTTCCTCGCGAAGCATACGAACTAGACGAAAGAAATAATAGTAATGAAATAGTTGCAGATTTTATTGGCATATACCTTTTGCATTAAGTTCATTCCGCTGTGCTTGCAGACGGCGCAAATTTTGACCTTTTTCTGCAACAATCAACTGCAGTTCCTCTATCTTCTGAATGTAATACGAACGGAAACCCTCTCCCTTCAGAGCTGCGTCGATTTCCATCTACAAAAATAATTATTATAATGAATGCTTTAACTCGTTAAAATTATCTTACCCTATTAGTGACGGTCATCTTATTATTTGTATTCTACGTTCCGCAATTTATAATTAAATATTATTGCAGTAAAAAATGACGGTGCAAAAGTTTCGTTTGTTAAAAATGACACAAAGAATTTTCGAAATACATTCGATGTCGAATTTACCTAGAGTTGCATTCAAGAACGAGCAACACGAGTTCGCCCAAGACGAATTTATACAAGGTGGTGTTGATGGCGAATTTAGATTTTCGCCGAGGTACGTCTTTAATGTCAAAATCAAGGTGTATTAGTCCCCTTTCAGACCCGTCAAGTCTTGAAAGCAATTTTTTTCGCATTCTCTTTTGTGTTTTCTATTTGCTTCCACACGCGTCAACTTTAATTGAATTCGGGAAAATTTTAGTTTGGCATCCCCCGCGTACAAAAAAAAGGTGGCTATGGGGGGTAGGGGGAGTTCTCCTGATTGCAAATATATATACTTTTAGCCGCAGGAGGCTTATAGTTTTTAAGTTATTTGTTGTTAAAGTTTGTAAATTGAGCTAACCTCTCGGCGCTATTTCACACAATAAACACTATATTTATGTAGACACTTCGGCAAAATAGTTACATTAAAACCCCGCACAATGAAATGTAAACATATTTTTTTACATTTATGATGTATTTTTAGTAAATTAAGTAAGTTTTAATAATTATCACGCACTTATATATGTATACGCACATTGTGAATACAGAACCGTTGATTCAACCATGGTTTCACACTGACATTAGAAGAGTGCAGCCACATCTAAGAAAATAACAATAAAAGAGAATAGTTTTTATCGTACCCATTTTCCTGCTCAGCGTTGAATTAGTAGTAAAGGAGGGTATGGGGTTAAATACCCCCAATATATAAAAAAAACTGACAAGCGCCGCAGGCGAAAATTTTTAATAAAAAATCGCGCGATATTTTATTAAAAATTTTCATTATTTATCGAAGTATTGATTTTTATGGAAAAAGCGCCGCAGCCGAAAATTTGTAATAAAAAATCGCGCGATTTTTTATTGAAAATTTTCATTATTTATCAAGTATTGATTTTTATGAAAAAAGCGCCGCAGGCGAAAATTTGTAATAAAAAATCGCGCAGTTATTTACACCGCGCTTAATACTCGTTAGCAGTGGAGAACAAGGCGGCGAATTCATGTATGGCTACTGTACACGATTGAGAGAATACAAAGGTTGCGCCGATCTCGAACCGCTATTCCTCTCTTAACGAATTTGACAGAATCGTTGTTTGCATGACGTCACACTGGTGCAACTTGTTTACGTTTTTCCTTGCAAAATTTTTTCTTCTTCCATTCTTGCTCACGTTTTGGCATTTCTCTTTCGCAATTGCACCAGTGTGACGTCACACAAAAGTTATTCTCAAAAATCCTCTCTGATCGGCGCAATCTTGTATTCTATCATTCTTGGCTACTGTAGCTCGTTTCTGTAACAATTCTCTACCAAGGCGAATTGAGATATGAATTCGCCGCCCTGTTGTTGTTGTAACAGCATACAAATTCCTCAAAGAGATTTTGGGGAGTGTTGCTGGAGTGACAGTCCTTGGCCAGATATAAATCTGGGTCGTTCCGGTTACGTAGACCCGACTGTCGTGGGAACGACAGTCTCCTGTTCTCTACTGCTGATTAGTAGGTGTGAGTGACGTATTTTCTCTACCAGTAGAGAAATAATCGGTAGAGAAAAGTTACAGAAACGGGCTACTGGTGCTGCTACCTATTCAATAAACCTTTGGGCGAGCATCGAAAGCCACACCGCTTGAAAACTTTGTATGGAACTCAACCTTTAAGTTCGTCTCATCTCTAAATTTTATCGACTTTTTCGAAATCAGCTGTTTATCCGAAAATGCCCAGCTGAGTAGCTGTCATTTGCTATAAGAATTTACTATCTGAAAAGCTAATTTTTGGTCGAAAAATACCGGTGTTATATCCTCTTGAACAAACGCGCTTTTGGTGGTGAACATTTGAATCGAAGAACGAGTAAATACCCTTACTGATTTCAATATTAAAAGCATATAGTATGTATATTTGATTTTTAGTAATTTTAGAGGAAACGGACTAACAAGTGTAATTTTGATAAAATTTACTCACTTTATTTAATTTGTGTACTTAGCTGTGGTATTTCCACTAAGAATAATCCGGTGCACTCATATGGTCTATTCTGTCTTGGAGTACATTAATAATGTTAAAGCTAATGTGTTCAGTAATCTGCAACATAAAATTAAGTTTCATTCAATGTATCTTTAAATATATCTTTTAACATTACCATCATTCGGAGATCCCAATCTGCTTGAATTTGCTTTGGTTTTGGGCATGAGTCTATAGTTTTTTTGAAATTTTCGCACCATTCGTGGAGCTTTTTTAAAAATGGAGAGGTATATTTGAAGTACATACGATATCCGGCTTTAATAATATCCTCATTTTGAGCATCACAAAGTGTAACATTTATAAGATAGCTTAATACACGAACCAAAATGTAAACAATTTTAGTATTTTCTTCATCTTGCAAGGTTTCGCTATCAATATTGTTCAGCATTTCCAGCAATTTTGAGAACTGAGTTTAGAAAAAAATGCATTAATTTTTTGTTAGTTAGCCACTTATTTCATAAAAAATCCTACCTGACGAAAACAATACATTTCACTGGGAGTCTCCGTTATTTCAGATAAAATGGTCCACATTAAGCATATGGAGATAGCCCTAGCTGTTTCACTTATGATTACCAATTGATTGCAGAGCTCCAGTATATTGAAGACATCGGTGTCTTTCCTTTTTAAGTTTGTCCAAAGTCGTTTAGTTGCTAAATGGAGCTAAATACAAAATTACAGCCGCATACTCATATTATACTATAAAATATGGGATAATATATTATTGACAGTGTCTACGCCCACGCGCCACGGTAACGTTTACCGTAGATCCACGGTAAAATTAAGTGGATTATGTGTTGCCGGAGAAGTGGGGCAGAACTTCTTTATGCGAGGGTGGCCTTCGGCCGCTCTTAGGGATTATAACCCCTACTACTTACGATTCTCCTTTCTGTGTTGCCGGAGAAGTGGGACGTAATTTTTACCGTGGCGCGTGTAAGTAGACACTCCCTATATTATTACATGCATGGGGCTTAGTGTGTCGCTATAGTTAAACGTTTTCTGTAAAAGATGAGTACGCCATTCCATGGTCTCAGGCGTAGCTTCAATAAAATAAAGTGTTCCCACAATTACGAAGAGGTTAGTTATTTCATCCAAATTCAGTTCAGAATTCAACAAATCCAGTATCTTTATATACACCTAACATGAGAAAATTTAACTTATTTTCTTAAGAGAAATGATTCCTTACATCTTCGGGTTTGAGGCCAACTTGTAAAAGGAAGTCGCATTTCTTTTTAAGACTGGAATTAGCGACGTTTTCACGTAATTCGTTCCATGTATATCCCGGCTCAATTATTAATTCTACTCCATCGTTTTCTTGTTGCGAATCTAAAATATCCATTTTATATCACGGCGCGTTTTTTCGAAACAAAGCCAAATTGATGATATTCCGAATAGCGATGTGATAACATTGACATAAACGAGTAACAAATCGATATTATTTAGTAGTTTGTACGATAAGATTTTTAGTACTAAATTAGCAGGAAAGTAGTTAACAATTATTTTCAAAATTAAAAAAATATATATTTCGAAAAAAATGCGCTTACGCAAAAACTTGAAAGTTTTAAAAACAGGTAATGGTAGTTTTTGCTCAAATCCAAGAGCATTAAAATTACGGAAATAAAAGCAATTCGCTAAGTACCGTCAGAAAATGAGCATTTGACTTTAAAAAGCTGAAAACCACCTAGTATGAAGTTATGCGTTTCTTCCGGTTTTGTTTTCCATGCTTTTTACACAATAATTCGAAAATGATAAAAAGCTGGTAACATCTGGCAACACGCTCTCTATGTTGCTTTCGATTCGTTACACAGCTAACAACTAGTGAATAAACTATCAACTCGCTTAAATCACTGTCGACTAGTAATAAAACTGTGAAGAATTTTGGTGCGCTCAAGAATAATAAACAAAGTGAAATATATTTAATAACTGTAAAAATAGACAAAAAAACAGACATAAATATTTTAGCTTTCTATCCTATGACTTTCGAGCTAAAGGTATTTAACTCGACTCAGATGCTGGTGTTTTCGCTGTATGTTGGTTAGCGCACAGACTATGCTGTCTAGCTCGTAAACCATTTAAATATATTGAGCATTAAATAATTATCAATTCGAAACTAAACAGACATTCGTACAGAAAATGGCAACTGAAGATAAATCGTAAGTAATTTTTGATTTCAAATATTTTTTTAAATTTGAATCTAATGCAAAACATTTAAGGAGGCGCAAGGCATGGACGTTTGATGAAACCAAGTTGTTGCTGAAATGCTACTCAGCGCGCAGAAAGGAGTTTATCCATCGAAGGAAAAAGCGGCTTGCATATGCAAATGTTTTGGAAGACATGATAGCGCAAGGTTTCACCGTAAGTTTAAGTTACTTCTTGTTTATTCTATCAATACTAAAGAAATTTATCTAGGATCCGACCACAACTGTACTGGGGTTAGAAAATAAAATGCGCACATTGTACGCTTCATATAGAGGCGCAAAGGACAACACTGTTAAGCCAGGTACTGGCCTTTGCATAGTTCCTTACATGGAAGACTTGGAGGAGATTTTTGGCAACAGTGCGCCTGTTACTGCGCCAGTTTCCAGTAATAATATTAATAAAGGAAATAACACTATTAGTTTGGGTATTCCTAAAACACATACGCTCAAGAAAACTGGACGGGATAGTTATTATACTGAAAAATTAAAATTAAAAACGAGAATCGCAGAAAAAAAACTGGATGAGAAAAGAAGATTCCACAATTCAATTGTCGAAACTTTAAGAGATATTGAATTAAAAAAACTGGAACTTCTGAAGGAATCCTTAAAAAAGGAATCTTCAGGTTAGTTAGGATGTTTAATTTAATAAATAAAATGAATTTGTGTTTTTAGTTTCATTGTCGTGAATCTTTTTAACCGAATTCAAAAAAGGAGGAGGTTATCAATAGATCGTATGTTATCGCATAACTTTGGACCAGGTAAACCGATTTCAATAGTTCTTTCTTTAAAGGAAAAGTTGTACCTCAGAGGTGGACCTATTAGAATTTGGTTTAGATCAGATTATTGGCTCATTGAGTAATTAACGGTACTCTTAAATTTTTATATGAGAATTGAAGTCGGTTTTGTTTTTTGCTTAAAATTTACTTCGCTATCTAAAGGTGAAAAGGTGCGAAGTCCCTTTATCTCCAAATTTAGTTTTTGATGCAGAAGAAAAGTTACTTGTTATATTTTTCCTTATATTTTGTTAAGCTGTAGTAAGTATTCAAAAAGTAAATCACGTCGAATACCATGTGTGGGGAAATTGCTTTCCAGAGGTCCGTCTTGCGTACCGGGTTCTAAACCTTCATCTTTTGCAACTTCTATACATGAATCATTAGATGCGATACACACATTATGAAGAATACAAGCACTTACAATTATGTTGACAACAAAGTTTAAATTTGTTTGTTCAGTAAAATGTAACAGTCTCCTGAATCTAGTCTTTAATAAGCCAAAGGCATTTTTCACAACCCCACAAGTAGATGTGTGTATTTCGTTGAAATGTCTTTGCGATTCAGTCAAGTTACCGTCCTCTTTGAAGGGCGACACCAACCAGCTTGTTGAGGGATAAGCCAAGTCACCCAAAATAAATGAGTTGTTCGGAAATAAATTTTGTAAATCTGATTGCGCTGTAGCATAAAGATTAGATCTTCGTAGAACTCTGATGTCATTCAGTGATCCAGGTTCGCCACAAGTTATGTCGATAAATCTTTTGTCTGCATCCACTACTGCTTGAAGCACTAAGCTGTATTGATTTTTCCGGTTTAAGTAATTTTCCTTATTCACCCTTGGAGTTTTTATACGAATATGCGTGCAGTCGATAACCCCAATAACACCCGGAATACCACTTTTCGCCTGAAATTTCTTTTGGATTTCCTTTGCCATAGTACCTTCCGGCCATTTTATATATTCGTGACCGACTGAGATAATCCATGCAGAGACACTGTTCACCGCAGACCAAACTGTCGATATTGATACTCGAAACAAGTCAGCTAGTTTTCGAAATGTTATCGCATTGCTCAAATACCAGATGTATATGAAGACTCTTTTTTTCGGTGGCAGACTTTCTCTACCTCCAGAGTGTGTTTTAGGTAAAATACTAGATGCATATCTCTCTGTAAAAACAGAACGAATAGTAGTAGTATATAAGATAATGAAAATCATCTTTCTGCCATACCGATTAAAAGTTCAGCAGTTGAACGTCGTAATCTCATGTGAGATTCAAACTCCTCTTCGCTATAGCCGTCAATAACTTCACAAAAATCTTCAAAAGCCTTTCTTTTTTCGTCTTCGGACTCCTCAGAGCTTGATGACGTTTCGGAACTTGAACTGGAAGGGATATTGTTCAAAAAAGCCTCTATATCCGCAGCCCCGGTCATGAGCACCTCTGCGTTTTCAAAGTATCGTGAAATCTGAGGAGGTAGATACCTTGTTTATATACAACATGTTTATATACATGAATAGTTTGTTTTTTACCAAATTATATCTTTTGCCCTCCATTTATAAATTGGTTGAAAATATTTTATTTTGTTCTCTCTGCCATAAACTTTACTAAATAACTAAAAGTAATCGGCTATTTAGTTCGGTACTTTGAACGAATGACGATCACTGGGAATTAGTGATGAGCGATATTTCTCTACCGGTGATTTTATCACTGTAATTTAAAAATCGTTTATAGTGACTGCTACTGCTAGGCCACAATATCAGTAATGGGTGATTTTTCTACTCGCAAGATATTTCGCTGGTAATGAAAATCACATATCGTCGCCTAGGTAAAAGATTGTCGTATGTTTCGCACGTACGTATGACGCTTACGACAATCTTTTACCCAGGCGACGATATAGCAATAGCTAGTCAACAGAAGTTGCGAATGGTGATTTTTCTCTGTGATGGTAGAAATGACGATTTTACAATTTTTAATTATTCATTCTGAATATACTCGTATGTATACATATTGCTTTTTTCATTATCATTCCACGGTTGTTTGATATTGACATTTTCAAGTATGCAGTTTAATTTGCTTGATCCCGTTATTTGCGTTTCAGTTTTTATTTCAAAATTTGTATCAAAGAGTAAAGATTGCTGCAAATATTAATAAAATACGAAGTGAAATATGACAATTTTTGAGCGAATAAATGCAACTTTTCCCCCTTTTCCCTACACAAATTTTTTCGACTGAAATCCCTACGGGTAGGGAATTATCCCTACATGCACCAACACTGATTTATTAGAACTATTACACATTTCTGTGTTAAGCGAAGCGCACATTGGCGCGATTCTGTCGTTGCGAATCCGCAAGCCCAAAAATTACAACAATGCTACCCATACATTTTAATGCGCTAGCGCACACTTGCACGATTCCGTCGCTGCGAATTTTTCGAACATTCAATGTTCCTCTCTATTGACGCGTTCGAAACGCGGCTTGCAGCGTTTTGAAGGCGTCAAAGAAGAAGAAGAAAGGTGTCACAGCAATAAAGGCAAAGAAAAAAAACGTGTAATGTACAAAAACTAATAAAAACGTTCGTAATAATAGTATTTTGTACGATTTGGGCACGCCGAGTGCGAAAATACACGAAATAAAGGGAAAATTGAGTGAATTGTACATCGGAAATCGACGCGAAAAAATCGCTCAAGTGTGCGCACGTTTGCGGATTCGAAGTTAACAGCCGAATTCGCAACGATGGAATCGCGCTAATGTGCGCTTCGCTTTATTAGAAGAACTAGGGATCGCAATAGCCATAAAAAATCACTGAATTAAAAACCGCAACTTTCGCCACAATTATAAAGGCCCGTCCACATACAACTTTGGCGTTGCGTTGGCGCTGGCGTCGCTTTGACAGCGGCGCGCGTAACGCCCGTGCTTGCTACAATGAACGCTTAGCACAGAATACTTTGGTCACTAAATTAACATACTAGCGGCTGATAAATCAAAATTTTTACATCAATAATTGCATTAAAAACTATATTTCTTGCCCGCATTTGATTAAAAATTAAAATTAAATCACATAATTTTGATTATTTAGAACAGCTGACGAACGACGCGCGCGAAAAGTTGAGAGTTGGCCATCTTTCTGCGTTGTGTTGGCGTTGGCGTTGCCCAACTTTGGTTATATGGAGACTTTCATATAAATACATGTATTCATAGTCAGCTGTCGAAGCGACGCCAACGCCAACGCAACGCCAAAGTTGTATGTAAACGGGCCTTAACGAGTTGTCCCTTCTCGTTAACTACGTTCTTTGCTGATACTGAAAAATCGCTATTTCGCCCATCACTACTGCAAATAATTCACTGCCAGCTGTTGTGCACGGTTGCCAAGTATATTCAATTTAACAGCCCTATTCCCAACGGCTGACTATTGCCGCAAATTTATTTTAAGCATTGTAATGGCCACAGTTGTCATTGTTATTATTATGAACCCGATTTTAGTATACAAGTAAAGCATAAAACGTATTACTCAACAACATACTAGTCATGCAGTATGACTCATACTGTGTTATCATAACTTTATAGAGCTGATGGCCCTGGCAACTAATGCTCGTTCGATATTAACGTATTAATTTAGTTAATTTGTTAAAAATAATATCCATACATACATACATACATATCATGTACATATGTATGTAATATATGTGTACTATGTGGGTGATGATATTTATCAGCACCAATAGATGTTATTATCACCAAATGTCGAAAGGTTATCAGCAATCTCTTGGTAAAGCATATGCCCTCGGCTAATAATGAATAATTTCTAATTTTTATTTTGTCAGTATATAGAAGATGAGCGACCGCAAGAGACACGGATGTTGATGTGAATAAAATTAAATTTTTACCTCAAGTGGAATTTTAGGCGAAAATGCAAGTTCATAACATCATCCCTCGTGCCATCTGTACGCTCAGCACGAGAACTCAAATATCCAACGCCTCCAATAAAGCGCTCAATCGGCGGCCTACGGCTCAAGCTTCATTTGTTGAAGTGATTCGCCTACGATCACATTTTTCACCTATTTGCAAATTATACGAAGTAAAGTCGGGATTCGGCAGATTTGGGGCACATTTTTCAACGGTGAGCACTTTTGCTTTTGATATATACTTCAGTTATATAAGTATTTGTGAGTAAAATTACAAAAGTTAAGTGAAATAGTTAAGAGTGTTTTGTTTCAGTTTTGATTTCATACACCGCGTGCAGATTTGTTTATTTTCGAACGCGTCAAGTTTTGTTTGTATATGTATATGTATGTACATACAAACCCAGTAAGAACCCTATCTGTTAACTAATGCGTTATATACGCCTAGTACTACAAAAAGTTTGTGTGAGAAATTCAAAAACTCCGCATAAAAAAAAACTAACGCATAGTCGTTTCAAGTATGAGTAGTTTTCTCTTTCTTTCACATGGAATTCGCTATTATATTATACTATATGAAGTTGTCTCTTTTCAATCAAATATGCGATTAATAACGTGTTATATAACGTAATGAATGGCATAAGGACCCTGCAAGAACAGTGACTATCATTTGAGTGGCAAGACTGATAGAGATATCGCTACCTACGATGTCACTGGCTACCTACAAGTTTCTATCAAATTCTAAAGGGCAGTGTGAAAAATCTGATGTAAACATTTGTGTTCCGTTTTCCTCCGACTTGTGGCACTATTTAGTTGTCTCTTTTTAACCAACGCAAAGTTTGTAAATGTGTTAGTAAGGTAAATGAGAATGTGTCCATCACACCCCTGCAAAAAGTGGGACTAGGTTAAATACTAGTACAGGACCACGCTACCTTGTAACCAACGCTAGTAACCAAAATGGTCTAAATATATGGAGAAAATATGGTTACATTAACATTGCGATGTCATTGGCTACCACTACATGGTAACCCGGGGTGTATCAATTTTGATTAAATTAGCGTCCTTAAATTTCGAAATATTGAAGTTTCAAGCATTTCTGAAATTTACTGTTATATGAAAATCGGCCGTAATTTTAGTCCGATTTCAATAATTTTCAAAGTTTTGCTTCTATGTGGCAAGCACAATAACCACACCGAGTTTGGTAAAAATTGGTAGAAGGCTTACCGAGATACATATATGTGATCATAAGTGGGCGGTGCCATGCCCATTTTCCAAAATTTTATCATAAACGCATTTCTTGGTAAAGAGTTGTTGCAAGCATCAATTTGGAATAAATAAGCTTTAATATTTACTGATTTATCGAAGATTTCGTATTTCTCCAAATTACCGTTATATGGGATGTGGACGTGGTTATTGTCCGATTTTTTAAACTTTCGGCCATTACGTATGTTATACCAAGGCCAACACTGTGCCAAGTTTGGAAGAAATTGGTCCAGCGGTTACCAAGATATACACATGTAACCATAAGTTGGCGTGGCTACGTCCATTTTCCAAAAAATTATAATGTTCTTATTTTTCGTCTAAAAATTATTCTAAATATAAATTTTGAGTGAATAATCTTCAGTAGTTACGAAAATATCGCAGTTTTCGTATTTCTGAAAATTACCGTTATATGGGAGGTAGGCGTGGTTATTGTCCGATTTGGCCCATTTTCAATACCATCCGTCCTACGCGTGAAAGAAGTGCACGTACCAAGTTTCGTTAAGATATCTCAATTTTTACTCGAGTTATCGTGTGCACAGACGAACGGACGGACGGACGGACAGACAGTCACCGCTTAATCGATCTCTCTTTTTTTTAATTCTGATCATTTATGTATACATTTGTCTATATCTATCTCGATTCGTTTTGCCTGTTACAAACAACCGTTATGTGAACAAAGTTATAATACCCTTGTGCACAAGTGCGCTCGGGTATAAAAATAACGGTGATACTTTGTTTGAACCCCAAAAACAAATGTGCCAATTGAATTAGAGGGCGTGTGTGAATCGGTAGCAAAGTTCTATGGGGAAAGCTGTTGAATAATATTTTTACTATGGTGAGACACCCTGCAAAAATCGTTGGACCATGTAGTCCATTTGTGGTATATTGGAGTACTTACAAAAGTGTTCCTCTGTCATGCTGTAGAGGACCAACTCGTGTCTCTGCGCCAGCTTATTGTTTGTTACCCGATAACTGCTCGTGTCTTAACGAAATGTGATTGAAGTTGAGCATTTGAAAGCACATTTGCATGTCTGGCTGTAGCTGAACGTGTAGAGATGCTCGCTGTTAGTTGTGAGCTCCCAGCATGTTCGGGTTCAAATGCCGTCAGAGGCAACATGGAATTTTTAATTTTTGTCTTGGGTTTTATTAATTTCGAAAAAGCATATGAGAAGTGAAGAACAAAAGCGTGTACAAACGAAAAAATATAACAACAATGCCATTGTTAATATGTTGGAGTAGTTTTGTGCTACTCTGATGTAATGCAGGGATGGAGTATATGGTCCTGCCCTAGGACATCGCAATGTTAATTGGACCATATTTTTTATATGAATTGTGGTTAATTTTGGAGTATTCCTTGGTCCTTAGGGAGTACTCTTTACACGTATGCATGGAGTAGTCGCGATTTTTGCAGGGCAGTTTTGCCAATCTGCTGTGTGAAATGAAATCTTTTTTGACAGCAGTAAATTTTTCATAACCGCAGATTTATGCGCAATAAACTATTACAAATTGAGTGAAATTAATATTTTAAGAAAACATCTACCATCATTGATTGCAGTTCATCAACTTAACCTTTTATTTTACGAAAAATTACACACAGCAGCAATCTTTGCAATTGTCAAAATTTTCTATGCATTTGTCAAAAATTTCACTAGCCCTATGGGCTACTGAAATTTTATTCACCTCAAACTTGTCAAAAATTTACTTGCCGCGAACTTTGTTACCGATTCACACACGCACAGAGAATGTAATTAATTTTTATGCTAAGTACCTGTTCATAGTAAATAAGAAAATTTTTAGTAATTTGTTCGGATTTTGAGGATTTTTCTTTTGTTTTTAGTAGTAGTAGTAGTAATTTTTTGTGGCAACACTGTTTCGGAAATATATTTAAAATTGCTCGTGCTGCACTTCGCCTTTCGGAAATAAAAAAACCTCTTTCAAAAGACGCTTTACAAGGCGTATTTAACACGCTGACGCTTTACATGCAAGGTGTGACTTGAATCTAGGCCCTGTGGAATGGTAGCGCGCACTGCTAACCACTACACCACTTTCCCTCAACGGTAATTGTAATCTTAAAATTTTTGGGATTACAATTACATGTATTTCATGATTACGATTACAGTAATTTTAGTCCTTAAATTTTTAAATTCACAATTATAATATAAATCGTAATGGTAACATTTATGATTACAATTAAAGTAATCGTAATCGTATATAATTTAGGGATTACAATTCAATCGTAATTAAAATGTAATCGTAGTCCTAAATTGCCCAGCTCTGATATATATACCAAAAATTACACAGGTCTACAAAAAAAAATCTATGAAAGGTTCCTTTGACCAAACCTAGTCTGTTATATGTTTTTGGGGTCGCTGAACACGAATCTGAAGTCAGTTTTGCTCCACCATGTCTGGATTTTTTCTAACCTCAAAAAACATCTCGGATTTTAGGTGACAGAGAAAATCCGGTGTTTTTTGAGGTTAGGAAAAAATGTAGACGCGATGGAGCGAAACGGACTTCAGATTCTTGTTCAGCGACCCCAAAAACATTTAATAGATTAGGTTTGGCCAAAGGAACCTTTCATCGATTTTTTTTTTTGTGGACCTGAGTTATTTGTGTTTTGTGACTGTTGACAATGTCTTTTCGCTAAAAACAGATTATTTTCCTAAGTTTGCTACTCAGTTCAGATCCACATATATGTAGGTATTTTACTTGATAATAAATGACGTAAAATCTATGTATATATGTGTGTATGTAGATCTCGTTAGGTCAGATTGCACTATCGTCAATGTATTAACATACCCAATGTAGGAATTTGTCTAGGAAAACATGTTTGTAAAGAGGCTCGCTGTTATCACGCGAGCACTTTTTATAAAATACACATAACAACCGCCGAAGTCGCATGGAATAGTGGTTGCAGAATACGATGGCATACACATATGCAGCTCAAGTCGTTTTAGGCGATTGTTGCTCATGACCACAGATATATATTTATGTACATATATATGTGCGTACATACAGTTACGGTCAAAATAATAGCAGCAAGATTCAAAATGATGCTGTTGGCAACTTATCTTTATTTATTTATTGTTAATAATTTTTATTTAAAATATGGGTTGACCTATATCGCATACCACATAAATAAAGGCTGCGTTTCTTTATACATTCCGGATAATCCCATTTCACAGCCGGAATAAACAGAATGCGTATGAAATATACGTTAACATATCATCAGGAACGTTCTACAGAATAAGTAAACAAAAAAGTTTATTCCAAACGTTCAGAATGAATAAAGATATTCAACCAAAAGTTTCAAAGCTTGCACAAAGTTCACAAAAACTTAAAAAAATGCTCATCAAAATTTGTTTTTTTTTTTATTAGAATCCCTGCAAGATTTCGAGTATGTAGTTTTATAGCCCATTCAATTTTAGTATAATAAAGTGCACGTTTGAAGTCGCTAAAAATTACCGTCGATTTTTTTAGAATTTTCTTTGTCGAGGGTGTTGCGCGTTTTCTTCCATATAACGCATGAACAAAACTTACTTTTATATGGAAGAAAATGCGCAACACCCTCCACAAAAAAAAAGAAAATCTAAAAAATCAGCGGTATTTTTTAGCGACTTAAAACTTGCACTTTATTGTACTAAAATTGATTGAGCTACAAAGCTGCATACCCGAAAATTTTCCTAAGAATCTGATTAAAAAGTTTGAAATTTGTATAAGCTTTGAAACTTTTATTTATGTGGTATCGGATATAGGTCGACCCATATTTTAAATGAAAATTATTAACAATAAATAAATAAAGCTAATTTGCCAACAGCGTCATTTTAAATCTTGCTGCTATTATTTTGACCGTAACTGTATGTATGTTTGTATATTAATTTCCTCGAGCATAGACACAAGCGTTTGAAGCCGACGTCAGTGATAGTCGTTATGTTAATATTTAGCGTCTGTAATCAATCACCCATGCCCTTTGTATATGTATGGATGTATGTCCAAGAATTTTGTTTTTACCAGATTTTATTATCAGTGTAACAAAAATACTAACAACTAGCATAATAATATTTCGCAAATTGTCTTTCCGATTATTAAGTTTTCATTCGTTGGTTGATAACAACATATTTTCAAACAGGAATCGGAAAGTATCATTTTGTTTCGAGTCGAGTTTATTAAGGGTACAATTTTCATACACTTGTGGTAAGCTGATTAAGTCAAGTGACATTTTGAATAGTTTTGGCTATTTTTCTTTTGTTTATTTATTGTTTATATTTTTTTTTTATAAAAGTTTAGCACTTTACCTAATCAGCGGCACATAAATCCACATTTCAAAATTCGTACAAAAATTATGAAAATTCAACAAACTTTAACATTTGCACCCAAAAACTTTAATCTTTTATTCAGAATTTTTAGAAAAATTTTGGGTATGCAGTTTTGTAGCAAATGCAAATTTCAACACGCTAGAAAATCGGGTTGATTTTTCATAATTTTTTTGTTGATCCATTTTTCTTATGGAAGAAAATGCACAAAATCGTCAGCAAAAAAAAATTATTAAAATCAACGCAATTTTCTTGCATCTTGAAATTTACACCCAAATATTTTCTAAAAATTCTAAATAAAAGATTAAACTTTTTGGGTGCAAATGTTAAAGTTTGTTGAATTTTCATAATTTTTGTACGAAGTTTGAAATGCGGATTTATATGGCGCTGATTAGGTAAAGTGCTAAACTTTAAACAAAAAATATAAACATTAAACAAACAAAAGAAAAAATAGCCAAAACTTACCACAAGTGTACATACATATTAGCTCTGATCCAATACTTTTCGTGCAAAATCCTGTAAAAATTTCAAACAGCAAAATTACTCTCTGAAGTGAGAGTAAAAAGTGAGTAACAACAAAAAGTACGAGAACAAAAAGGCATTTTCCTGTTAAAACGTCAACCAGTGATCACTTTCATGATTTTATCAGAAGAAAAAGTTCGGGTAAAATCTTGCAACTTCATTCTCTACACAACTCTCCAAAAATCGCGTACAGGATTTTTGGGGAATTTGGAGTACGGGATCGTTTTTTCTGTAACTTCCTGCAAGTTCGTGTAAAAACCTGTAAGTTCATGGAGTATTGGATCAGAGCTATCGTCACCTAAATTCACAAGGGCCCTAACCGACAAGTTTTTTATTTTACAGGAGAAGCAAAAAACATTTTTAAAGGGGTATCAAAAACAGGTAGGGCTTTTCAAAAAGTGGCATGTAACTCCGTTGTTTTTGGTACTAACACTTCAAAATTTTTATTGAAGGTGTATTTGAATACCATGGATAAAGCTGTTTTATTTCTTCACCTGTTTTTAATTTCACTCCTTTTAATACATCCTACATTAAATCTGTGAAAAACGCAGTTTCGAAAAAAGTATTCGTTAGGGCATTTGTTTATAAATAAATATGTATGTATGTTTTTACATGGACGTTAATTTTTTTAACGAAGATTTAAAGTTTTCTCAGTAATTATTTCTTATTTAATTTATTTTTTCTAATTAAAAGAGCATGCCTGGAAATCTAAAGTTACTAAGCGATGGCATTCGCGAAGGCGACCCCGAATTGTATGCTATCATAAAGGCTGAGAAAAAGCGCCAAACTGTGGGTTTGGAAATGATTGCCAGCGAGAACTTCACATCCGTTTCGGTGCTGGAATGCTTGAGTTCATGCTTGCACAATAAATATTCAGAGGGTATGCCTGGCAAGCGTTACTATGGTGGCAATGAATTTATCGATGAAGTAGAGCGTCTTGCACAAAAGCGTGCACTCGAAGTATTTCGTCTCAATCCCGATGAATGGGGTGTAAATGTGCAACCTTACTCAGGCTCCCCTGCCAACTTTGCTGTGTACACTGGACTATGCCAACCACACGATCGCATTATGGGCTTAGATTTGCCCGATGGTGGCCATTTAACGCATGGTTTTATGACTGCAAAAAAACGCATTTCTGCCACGTCCATATACTTCGAGAGCATGCCATATAAAGTGGACGCGCAAACGGGTTTAATCGATTACGATCAATTGGAGGCTAGTGCTAAGCTATTCCGGCCACGGATAATCATAGCAGGCGTATCCTGTTATTCACGTTGTCTTGACTATGCACGCTTTCGTAAGATCTGTGATGATAATGATTCTTATCTCTTTGCTGATATGGCTCACGTTGCCGGCCTGGTGGCGGCTGGCTTGATTCCGTCGCCATTTGAATACGCCGATGTTGTTAGCTCTACGACACACAAAACGTTGCGCGGTCCACGCGCTGGTGTCATCTTCTATCGTAAAGGTGTACGCAAGGTACTGCCAAATGGCGAAAAAGTATTATACGATTTGGAGGAACGCATAAACGCAGCTGTTTTCCCAGGTTTACAAGGTGAGTATCAGTGGCATGAGACGTGGAGTTGGAATGCTGACACAACGCACTAACCGGCTTGTTGCCAAACCGAATTCCCTCTTATTCTGACGGAATGATCCAAAACTAACAAATAATTTAATTTATTTTATATGTCTTTTAGGTGGTCCACACAATAACACTATAGCTGGCATTGCCACCGCCATGAAGCAGGCACAGTCACAAGAGTTTGTTGACTACCAAAAGCAGGTTATCGCCAATGCGCGTCGTCTATGCGATGGTTTGATAAAGCGTGGATACAATATTGCCACCGGTGGCACTGATGTTCATTTGATATTGCTCGATTTACGCAACATTGGTTTGACTGGCGCAAAAGGTGAATATATATTGGAAGAAGTGAATATTGCCGGCAACAAGAATACAGTACCAGGTGATAAGTCAGCATTGAATCCATCTGGCATACGATTGGGAACACCAGCTTTAACTACACGTGGTTTAGTAGAGTCCGATTTTGATGCTGTTGCGGACTTCATTGATCGAGCATTGAAACTGTGCGTTGAAGCAACTAAAATATCCGGCCCCAAATTGGTGGATTTCAAGGAAGTCTTAAAGTCTAACAAAGAAATCGCAGAAAAACTGGGCAAAATACGTCGTGATGTTGAAGAGTTTAGCGGGAAATTCCCACTACCGGGTCTAGAGGATTTTTGATTTCTACTGTTTGTTAATTAAGCTTGAAAATAAAAAAAATGTTTTACACTTAGTTTTAACACAAATGTTTTTTTCATTGTATTTTCGCTTATGATTTACCACAAAGAAACATAGGTTTTCTTAAAAGTAAAGGTAATGCTTGTATGATATATGACATGTCACTTGATTTTGCAGGTATTTCAGGCAACATTTAAATAGGTTTAAAAACAAAAAACAAAAATGTATACCCTTTCAAGTAGTTAATGCTGGATTTCCATACTTAAGTGTGTATGTATTAGGATGTGTCCTATGTAAGTCTTCTTAGATGTTCACTTCACGTGCATTCCTCAAATTCCATTTTGATACATTCTTTTGTCACCCGCATGTCCCGATGAAAGCGCGAATTATGCGTTGATAACGACCATGTTGTTTTGAAACACTTATTGCAGATGGTGCACTCATATTCTTTTCCTGAAATTTCCGAGTGCCGCGAAGTTATGTGACGGCGTAACGCATTCATCGATTGTAGTTTTCGTTTACAAAATTTACATGTTAAATTGTGATCCTCGACTGAAAAGTGAAGATGTATTTAAGTATTATAATAAGCGTTAGATTACATTATTTATTATGAAATTTGTTATCTTAAGTAAAAAAATAAAATGAAGGATAATCTAGCGAGGGGAATATTTTTGCAAATGTCAGGAATAAAACTGTGATAGCTGCTGAGCTAACGGTTTCAGCGACATATAAATAATATATTTTCGAAAAACCAAATCTATACATACACATCTGTCCCTAGGGCATTTTGAATTATAAACATTTTTAAGGAAAATGTGCTTTGCTATGAGCTTCTAAAAAATGCAGACGGAGCTGGTGGTATTGCTCAACGTCATTTTACACAGCCGTATCAATTTCGCGGGGATGCCAAATCCAGACATAGCGGCGTATTGGCAACTCCTTTTAGTGCTATCGAAAGCGGCTTTGAAGTCGACAAATAGATTGTGAGTGTCGATCCATTTCGATGCGATGCGAAAGAGAAATGCGATGCGATAGGCAACCGCCACAGCGTATTTCTTACGACGTATTTGCTTATCGCATCGCATTTCTCTTTCGCATCGCATTACAGCGTAGCTCCCTCAGGGGGTGTATGGAGGATTTTCCAGGCCTAAAGCGCCATATTGATAAGGCCCAATCAGTTCGTTGATCTTTCAACTACCCAAATGGTGACTATATGCGTCTTTCCATCTGTCCTTTGCGTCTGTGGATTGCGTTTTCCCACAAAATTTAAATTTTTAAATAATTCCGTACATTATTAAAAGTGCGATATGTGCATAAGGAATACTGTGTAAAATCTTAAACGTCAATATTTAATTAATAATAATAATAATAGATTGGCGCTTATACATATGTTAGTGTTTGGTCGAACTTCTCCCCTAATTTGTGGCATGGCGCCTTGATGTTGTCACACAAAGGGCTCTACAGTTTTACGCCGAAATACACTCGAAGGTTTGCCATTGCCTGCCGAAGGGCGACCGCTGTTAAGAAATACCCCTTTTTTTAATATATTTTTTGCATTTTAATTACTTTTAAATAATATGGCTTTTAAGTTAAGCCGTGCAAGTAAATGGGTTAGATGACTGCGTGCCACAGGCCGTATACATTACATACGCAACTACGGGTATTTGAGCACGAGTTACACTAGTTTACAGCAAAAATGTTCTACAGATGCCACTATCCAATTCCTATGTAAAATTGCTCGGTGGTTCCGAAAATCGAGTTTTTTTTTTTTCTATGGATACGTTTTCGATATACATATTTGCAATTTACCGTTATTCAGTTTTAAGCAAAAATTGTTTTCATTTAATCGCGTGTATCTTACGAACCGATTTAAAAATATCGCAACCATATATACTGGGTGGCTCCGAATGAGCTATATGGTTAGAATTCTTTTTAACAGTTTTCTTTGGGGATATTTGAAAGAAAGAGTGTACATTCGAAATGAAATCATGGCCATTACACCCGAAATTTTGGGAAAAGTTATGGAAGATATGCTAAAAAGAGCACGTACATATGTGCGAAGCAGAAAATGGACATCACTTACAGGATATCATTTTTCAAAGCTAATTGCAAAAAATTCCCCAATATACTGTATTTAAAAAAAAAAAAACAATTATAATAATCGCATAAATAAAAAAGTTATAAACCATTTAAACCATATAGCTCATTCGGCGCCACCCTGTACATCACTTTAAGATAGGACTGATAGTTTCGGACAAATTAATTAATCATTCCAGTTTATTTTTTAATGAAGAAATGAAAAAAATCAAACTTTAACAGAAGAAAAAAATAAAATAATAGGTTCTGTGCCAAATTTTTGCATTTGTACTAAATCCTGTTCTGTTACAAAAAAAAATCAATTTACTGATGAAGAAAATCGATGGATAAATAAGAAATAATGGGTGGTTAAATGAAAATGTGGAAAGTTTTTTGGATGAAAAATGAGCAGGAAAGAAAGTTACTCATACGCCACGTACACCTGCGTAACACGCTTTTCTCTACATGATCAAGTTTAAATAGCACTGGAATAGCTGCGCTCGATTGTAGTTGGCTCACATGAAAAAAGTGGAAAAAGCAACAACAGTTTATAAGGCGAACTTAGCGAAGTGCGTAGGCAACTGGCTGAGTAAGCTGGGGTCGTCGGTTCGAATCTCGCTGAAGAGGTCTGATGAGGAAATGTGGTGATTTCCTAAGTAGCTTTCACTTCTACCATTTTTTTAAATTGTTGTTGCTTTTCCACAATAGTTTTTCATTAAAAATGGCCTCAATAAAATTGTTAAATATAATTATACATTTGTAGTAAAATATGAAAATAGTGTTTATTATACATATGTATGTACATATCGTCACCTGAAATGCAAAAAGACGTAACTTATAAAAAATTCAAAATTTACTTTTTGATTGCTATGATGGATTTCATCGAATTACAACTCCCCGCATCGTTTTATGAAAAAAAAGTTAAGCCCAATTTCTGTATCGGTGACAAAAATTTTTTTGCTGACAAATTTAAGCTTTTCCATATATTTTTCCGTAATAAAAACTGTGACAAGAATTTGTCACTCATACAGAATAGAGCCGTAAGTCAAGACTTTTTCCATTTCAGTGACGATGTTACGTTATTTAGCATTTCAGGTAACGATATGTAAGAAAAATTTATGTTTTTACTCAGAGGAAAAAATCGGAACGTCCGATAATAAAAATCGTTAGAAAGATAAAGTTGATGCAGTGGTAATCCCTGTTTATTCTTTTATTAACTATACATACAAAATTTGTTTTTGTATCATAAACCAATTCGCTGAATTGTAAGCAAATCTTCAGTCCCCTCCAAAATGAGGTACGTTTTAAGAACGTCCGGACAGCAACTTTAGGTCGCCTTAAATTGGCTATACACCATTTGTGGAAAATATACCTATTTAATTGCTTACAATAGATGACTACAAGGCGAATTCATACCATGTGAAAGCGTCAGCACAAAAACAAAAAACTACACTAACAAATTATACGCACGACGACAATCAGGACACCAAAAATGTACAACAAACACATCATTTTGACAATCAGCGCAATTCGCTTTGAAATCAGCTGCTCCGATAACAACACCTTGTATGAATTCGCCTTGGATAACTTCGAACGCTGTTGTTCATATTCAAAGCCTGCTATAATTTGTATCCAGAAGAGTGCCATAAATAATTCTTTATTCACGTCGAGTCAGTTCGTCCTAATTTCCGACGGCTTGGAAGGTACTCCGTCGTCTAAAGTAATTATAAATATTAAAAAAAAATGCTGATATTTTTCGACATTCATTTATATTTTGAAAGTTTACAACTAGTATTATTCTGCTTATATGTATGTACATACATACATTCATAGTATTATACGTATATATCCATGAATTAATATATTACAATGATTTTTTCCATTGATCTTTTTCAAGTACTAAATATAAAAATTTTTGAATGAAGTGTCACATTTTTCGTGTATGTATGATTCTCTATCCTATAT